TCATGCTCTATAAATATCACATTTCCTAAAAGTACGCCACACACCAACTCATTCCACACCGCAATTGTATTTTGTTTTGATCATGTGAGTACCTCAAAAAAATATAAAAGAGTCTGACGAATGAGACAAATATCGACATACCGACTCAAATATGGCCACACCATTAGCACCAATGTTTCCACTAGGAGTCACTCCAAGACCTCCGATTAATCCAGCGCAAAGATCACTGCAATAGTAAACACATCAAGTTACATTTACGCTATTTACATGGTCTTGCTGATTAGTTATTATACACACTGGCAAACAAATTTGTTAATATGCATCATCACCAACTAATCTGCAATCACATCTTCGCTGTTTTTTTAACGTTTTAGATGCGGATTATTTGATTGATGTTAAATTATTAAAGTTCAGACAACCCTAAAATTCTCTTACGACTCATCAGTCCACACTGCTCTCTTGGTTCTAACACATATCTACATGTACTCTCACTGACAAACAATGTAGATTTCATCATCTATCTAATTAATATGATACCATAAGCGGTTCACCAGTGATGTTCACGTACCTCAAGATGTCTCCATACAAGTTTGGCATCACCAGTACATCAAACTGTGTGGGATCCTGCACCATCTGTAAGAGTGTCAAAACAATGCCCCTATTAATTAGGAATGTCAAGCGTGCCAAAAAACATAATTTCTTATCTATCAAAAACATGCATTCACATTAAATTAATTTATAACAAAAGCTGTTGGAACGTACATTAAGGCACACAGTATCCAGGTACATCTCAGTGAATTTCACATCTCTGTGCTTCTCCGCAGCCTCTCTGCACTTCCGCAGGAAAAGTCCATCTGACATGCGCCTATCGAAAAAAAAATGTCAACAGTGGAAAATCATTTAATTTCAGCAAATAGCTTTAAAATGACCAATCAGTTAAAGCAATTACTACTCAATACAACTTACATGATATTCGCTTTATGAACAGCGGTAACACTGGCCCTCTGATTATTTCTTGCATATTCAAAAGCATATTCTGCAATGCGCTGGCTGGCTTGTTCAGTGATCAGCTTAATGCTCTGCACGACTCCGTCAACAATCTGAAATGAGAAGCACACATTGTGAATGTGGTTAGTATTTGAATGCTTTAAAAGAAAAGCTCTGTTCTTAAACACCGAGCAGTGTCTGTGCAGGGGAAGCAAAAATAAATGAATCAAATAGAAAAACAAAAAAAAAAATCAGTGCTTTCGTAAAAAGAAAATAATAAACTGAAACATCTAGACAAGCATTGTTAAAGGGTCTTACCACATGTTCAATCCCGCTGTATTCTCCCTCGGTGTTTTCCCTGATGGTCACCAGGTTCACATCAGTGTAGGGGGTTTTGTAGCCCTCAATCGACACACAGGGGCGCACATTAGCATAGAGGTCAAAGGTTTTCCTCAGCAGCAGGTTCATGGAGGGATGGCCAGCAGCGATTGGTGTCTTCAAAGGACCTGTAAATTATTAAGCAATTAAAAATTATGAGCACAAAAAGAAAACACTCTTTAGAAGAAACAAGGTCTAATACAGTTATGTACTGCTCTTTTTACAAAAGCTCATTCCAAAGGTTTAGTCACATATCTTCACCTTAATTCATTAGCCTTTGCTGTGGGTATAAATGAGGGTAAAGCTATATATAGAAAGATTAGTTCTTATTCCCCAGGAAGAATATGCAAATCATCCTTCTTATCATCTGGAATAGCTTGCTGTAACAACCATGCCATTTTTATTTTAACAAATGTAAGAATATATTTAGAAGGTTACCTTTCAGGCCAATTTTGTTCTTGTCCATTGATTCTTTGGCATCTGGAGGAATCATCCATTTGCCACCAGGTCCTTTAATGGCTGTAACATTTCTTTCCTCCCACTGAATAGGTGCCTAGATCAAAAGCATATACACAACACAGTTTAAACTACATTCAAATATATATATATATAACTAATTCTACATTTCTGTTGTCTTTTTTATTGGTGCATTTTGTATCAAACATCAGTGCTGAAGTCATATTAGTACACTGTTCTCTATTGCACCCTGAAAAACAATACTGCTGGTTTAGTGAACAGATGTTTTATTTCTTTATTTTTGCTCCTCCTGTACTAACTTTAGCTGCTTCAAAAATCTTCATGACAGCAGCGGAGATCTCTGGGCCAATTCCATCACCAGGGATTAAAGTAACGGTTTGCATCTGTGAGGCAGAACAAAGACACACAATATTTAAGGACGTAGGAAAAATTACACACTTATGAGATAGTCTAAATTTATTACAAGCACCAAAGGTACTGCAAAAAGTCTTGCAAGAAAATAATCACTGGAGCTTTAGCGGGAAAGATACACACCCCCCGAGTGAAAGCCCTGGATTGTGGAGTCTCATTCCTAAACGCGCCGACAACCCTCGACACCTGTCAGGCGAAAAGGGCCAAAACACACAATAAATCACCCTTTTGTTGGATATGTCTGACAATGAGGAAAAGCATTAAAATAGAGATATTTAGAGGAATGAACTGAACATAGTTTACTGCAATAGTAAAGATATTAAGAGCAGAATGACCCAAGAAGAATTATGCAGTCATGTACAGCATGCTTGATGGAAATAGCTGTTATATAATGTGTTCTTTTTGATCAAAAATGCATGTAATTGTACTGCTATGCCAAATCCTTGAAAGAGCATGATAAATAGATAGATAGACTGTTTATGAAGGAACTGCCAGTCCTTCATAAACAGCATGTTAGTGTGGCAATTTCCAGCCTTGTTTAGTATGAATGACTATGAGCAGTTCAGTAAAACACAGTGTGTATGGGTGTGGGTTAAGGGCCCATACCCTCCCTCAGAAGGGCCTAAGACAAGGACAAGGGCAGAGGAAGCAAGCCGATGTTGCAAAGTAGATGACCAACAGGAAAGGAGAGGCAAGTTTAGTTTTGAAGCCAGTGTGTCACCATGAGTTGTCTTAGCTCGGTCAAATAGCAGAAATTGCGTAAGTGCGACAGCAATGGCGTTCTGCCTTGGAAAACATTGCAAACCAAAATGCCCATCCCAGATTTGAAAACATTACTACTGAGGGAGACTGCTAGCTAGCTCTTTTTTTTCTAACGCAGCAAGGACAGTTAGCATTTTTAATAGTTACGTATGCTCAACTTACTTCCTGTGGTTTGATTTTATCCTTGCCATTGATCGATAAACCCAACTTTCTTAGCAGATTAAGAATCTGTAGACGATAGACATTTGTTTCCACAACGTAGTTTTAACAGAACGTGATCAGCTTGAGCAGTCAGCTATACAAACTCTCACTACAATGCATAATAACATAAGATAAACATCCAGTTAGCTCACTAGCTAGCTAATCAACAGTCAAGAGTCCGGTTGCTATAGTAACTACAAGCAGGAAGTGCTAGCTAGGCTAAGCAGTTAGCAGTGTGGGTTCTGTCTCCGGTACGCCGGTAGTCTTTGATTTTGTGAACGACAATAAAGGATGCTAACGTTAGCTGATACATTTAAACAAAATATAATGCATTTTTTGCAACACTTATGAAAGGTTTGCATGCTTTTTCCAGTACATACCGCTGACCTCCACGCTTTTCCTGCCATCCTGAGCTAGCCAAGGTCGATGCAGAAGCAGTAGCAACAGCAGCACTTGTCAAGCTAACGACAGTACGCACCGGATGTCTGTCCGGTACGCTTTGTTCTTCAAAATAAACTCTGATTTAATACTTTTACAGTCGATAACGTTATTGTTAGTGCGAATTTCCATTTGTTTGTAGTAGCAACTTCTAAATCTGCCTATTTATTTATTTATTTTTAGCTTGTAGTGTTCATTTTAAAACTATTTGCAACATTAAAGTCATGACTGTTTTGCTCTTACTGTAGATATCCTCAGGAAGAAGAGACACTGGGTTTAAAAAAAACTTTACTTTTTACTCTACAGTAGCAACACTAGGAAAAAAATTGAAATCAAGCTTTTCATACAAAATAACATCTATATATTATTATAAATGGGCTAACATGGATTACAGCTTGGTCACAGGCAGGTGTGACTACACTCAAGTCTGTGTAAGTATTTGATTAAAAGAAAAAAAGAGATCATCATCACTGCACTATGCTAAAATAGACAGCAACAATAATAATAAAAAAAAAATCTATTTTACTCTGATGCATGTCTGATGGTTAAAGCTATTCATAATTTCTTATCCCTTCCTTTTAGAAGATGCCTGGCCTGTCCAGGCAGAAGCAGTGCAGGACTACAGCATCCACTAGAGGTTACTGGGTACTACATTTCAGAAGGACAGCTTTTGGTCAATCTGCTTTCTTAGTTAAAGCTGTGGGGAAATGGAATTCTATCCCCAGAAATATATCAAGAGATTCAGGAAGATGTGCAGTGTTTCACACTAGCCTCAAGCTTTTGGCTGAAGTCAGACCCAAAATGTCCCTACCAATGACTGCCTTTTATTTTCTGTATTTACTTCTTCCATTTATTATCTCACAAAGACGGACTTTCATGTATTATATTGTTTTGTGCAGTGTACTTGTTATTCTGTGGTTGTTCTTCCATCTACCTGCCCATGGACAACAGATATAAATTAGCTGCTAGCTAAATCCGGTGCGATTATTTTTAATCGAGTGCTGTCCCTGCAAACATAATTAAATAAAACAATAACAAAAAAAAAAGAAAAATCCCTGATCTTAAGTGTGTATGGCCTGGATATTTCTGCACATATTCGAAGATAAAGCAGATTCAAAGAAACAATTCCACCAGCAGGAGGCACCAGTGGACTGTTTCTGAGACTCCACTAATTTCATCATGAGGGATTTCTACAGATTGCTCAGTTTTTTCCACACAACACCTGAATAATACATGATCTTTGGCTCTGCATGTACAAACACTTCATAGTATGTTATGCATAAGTTGCCCCAGATTCTGCTGTATAAGTAAATATGAATATAAATCAACAAACCAGTACACCTTGACACCTTTGAAAGCGTTGTATTTTCCACAGGTCCGCTGTACACATAGTAAAGTTTATGGTATAAAACAAGTAGAAACGGCTGCAACAATCATTCAATCACATTGGTTTTTTTTGCAAAAAATTCAACTTACGAGGAAAGCATACAGCATGGGACACATTAACTCCCCAAATTATCCAGCAATGCAAAATGGAAAAAAGCTTTTAATTACGAAAACCTATAGAAATTCATAAGCAGCATAGCTTCCAGCATAAAAGCAGGCTACAACATGGTACAAAATGCACACTGTGCAAGTAAAGACATCTTTGAGCCAAACTGAGGGATGTCAGTATGGGTAAAGGTTTTCAAACCACGTACATGTTTCGTCCAATGCATAGGATGCGTACAACTTGAACAAATGCTACACACTGCAACACAGAGCATGTGTTCCCGGCAATGATAATTATCAAGCATTTGGATATAGTGTGGTAATTTGAAAAACCTACAGTACATTAGTCATGGTATATCGCACAACAACAAAAAGTTGCTAAATATTGCACACGAAACGTGTCCAAAAATAGCCCAATTTAAATGGCAAACTGCTTTGGCTGCTTCTTCAGGCTCATGGATCTTTCAGTTTGTGAAATTACATGAGTGGCTCTGTTGTTGAGGAGTCTGCATTCATGAAGAACATCTGGATAAAGACAAATGCAAGACAAGGATTACAAAGAATACCTCCGCACAGTTGACACTTGCTTAGGTGATATGCAGCACTTTTCCTAAAAAAATGCAGCTCTGCAGAGAACCTCTTACCATTAAATTGTTTGTAAGCTTCTTCAACAATGGCATTGTTTGATCTCTTTATCTCCCAGTAGGTATCTTCCACCCATGGCTTGCAATCGGGATGTTCAATAAGCTGTCCGTTCTTGTATAGACCAGCTAACCATTCATAGAGAAAAAAAAAACAAGCAGATAAAAACATTTTAGTCAAATGAAACAACTTTAAGCAAACATAGCTGTGCAGTATTTATCCAACGTAGCTGTGTAAGATGAATGAATGGAGTGTGATAATTAGTTTACTCGTTAAAAAAATATACCTTTGATGGTGTCATCAATGTCTTTGCATAACTGGTACAAGTCACTCCCGCGTCCAACAACTCTTTCACCTACAATTTAAACAGATTAAGGAAATAATTAAGTAAAGATGTCCAAATCTTGGGGCACATTTAATACAGCCAAAAGGAAATCTTACCATCCAGCACTTTGATGTTGGGGAACATCTCAAGAACTACGGTTCTATACGACACGTTCCTGCACACTGACGGACAGAACGTCATTGTTAGTTCACTAATCAAGATTTTCGTGCACTTAAATGTTTTCAAATGAAGCCGCTAAAAATTACCTGGATTAGTGTAATTATACGTGTTGTCCTTAAGACGTATACTTTCAAGCTTTCTCAAAGGAACAAGGCAGTGTAGGTTCTCAGTGCTGATGCAAAACAAAACAGACGCGCTCTTAAAGATAGAATTACTCATCACTAATTATTCAATGCTATACTTCACTGTTTTAACGTAGTAATTGGTGACATATTCCTTTAGATCACTCTGTAGCCGTACCTGGATATAACATTACCAGCTACGTTCAAGTTCTGTAAAGCGTCACAGCTGCGCAGGGGATCTGGAAATAGAAGAAGAAGATTTTAAATCTATTTATAACACACATTAACTTGACATGTTTTGCTCCTGAAATCTTACCCAAATTGGAGATCCTGTTGGCAGACAAATTGAGTACAGAGAGAAGCCGAAGGGATGCCAGAGGAGCTAAATTTGAGATGTTATTTCCAGACAGGTCCAGTCTCTCCAGATTTATACACTCCCCGATGCATCCAAGATCATGTATACCTATAAGACAGGATACAACATTAAAAAACCACAATAGAATTTTGCAGAAATAAATACGAATGCATCCATTTCATCTTACCGAGACCTCTCAATTTGAGAAACAGTATCGACTCCAGATCGAACTCTCCTGTACGAGACTTGAGCAGCACGGCGGTGATCTTCTCGCAGTCTGCATCTGAGAGAGTCAGGGTGACAAGACTGCAGCTTAACAAGGCATACTCACTTTTCTATTCTTATACACGCAGTACAATTACAGTCTGTATTTGTGAGTCAGCGCTGCAAAAAGGAAAAAAAAAATGCTGGAAGCGCTGTGTCTGTTCAGTTTACAGTGGAATAAGCAAATAAATAACCCCTGCAATCATCTCTGAACATGAGACACCAATTCATGCAGTCTCTGAATTTCATATCTGGCAGCACACACACATATTTTTTTCCCTTCTGCCAGCTCCGGAGGAAAGGGTCACAGACTGGCAGATGTGCTCTTCTCTGCATTGTTGCGTGAATAAATAACAACTGAGGGAGTTATATTTGGTTGAATTTCCTCAGGCAGTGTCAGTATTAGACATGAAAGCCTTTTCAAATGAAAAAAAGGGGGATGGCTGAGAGAAAAATCAGACTAACCAGAGATAATGATGTCTGCTTCTTTTTCTAACCCATTTCATCCTGTGACATTTTCAGATTCACACCAACACATGGTTTATTTAGTTCACTTTGTATGTGAACTAATTGAGGGCTGGCAGACAAGGTGTATGAAACAAGTAAATACAGATGAAAGGGGGCAGTGGGAGGGATATGTAGGAGCTACAGACGAATATCTCGCATTAGTCACCTGCAGAAATAAAGGCGATGATTAGTTTCGCTCCACGGTCTGCCAACGGTAGCGTTTAATGTTGTTAGCTCATGTTAGTAGCTGCTCCTGTGTTAGCTTTGAGCGTCGTTAGTATGACGGCGGCTGCGTGGATTCATGAGGATGATTCAGCCGGATGAAAGTGGGTGTGTTGTTTCATGAAATGGTAAATGTGCCCCCCCTCCTCTTTTTTTTCTTCTTCTTCTTCCCTGTGATGACACACGCAAAAAATGTTTTGTAACAAACACTAGGTTTTATAGCCACATCTTAGCTGAAGCTAGCAAGCATTAGCCGCTAGCGGCTAGCATAGCGCCGTAGCAACAAGCTATCCATCACAACTTACCTTGATCTTTCTCTCGCTTCGAGTCCATCCTGGGCAACTTTGCTGCTCGGAAAGCGACCAAACGCAACGACAGCTTCAACCAGCGAGGTGGAAAGGCAAGGCAGTGGTTAGTTTTGGGGAGTGTGAAATTGTCATCTGTCCTGAGGTGCCGTCAGGACACGATTACTGTACTGCTGCGCCGTAATAGCAGCAGGCAGGTGGGAGAGACGGACCTCGAGCCTCCGCAGTCCAGCACCGGATCCGCACGGAGGGGAGGCAGAGGGGTGAGTAGCGGGGAGGGAGGCAGAGGGGGAGGACGAGGCTTGGATGGGATGCTCCCGGATCGTTACATGTTACCTCCGTGCAACAGGTTCTCTATCAATTAAAAGTTTTGTTCTCATCACAACGACGTGGAGAATGATTCTGCTACAGGGCTTTATAATGGATCTGCGAAGAGCAAATAAATATAATGGGACACGTTGATTGAATAAAAGAGGGAGTAAATAAATGAGCAGGCAAATCCAGTCAGGGCAGAAATAACCCACAATAAATGTTAGTTTAATTAGAGAAGACTGGGGAAAAAAAATCTCTAATTCGCTTTTTTTTTTTTTACTGTTTCCCCCCAAAGACACAAAAACATCAATAAAAACAGATTGTGAATGATTTAAAACCGTAACTGAATAACCCTATAAATCATCATGTTTATAAGACAAAATGAAATGTGGACATAAACAGACAGGCAAAATACATTTGAAAGGTTATTGTAATATCACAGATATTTACTAGTGTAACTGAAGAGATGAAACTGTTCAATTCAAGTCTAATAATGTGAATATATTTCAAAAAATTAGACACACATGTTGACAAATAACAGAGGTATAGGTTCATATAACCAGTGTTGAATGTGTTTTATTAAGTGGATAATCTCTATACGCATTGCTATTCTATCAAAATACAATTTTCACCCATCTATCTATCTATCTATCTATCTATCTATCTATCTATCTATCTATCTATCTATCTATCTATCTATCTATCTAAAAACCTATTTCAATTACAATAATTTTAAGATATGTTTATTTTCTATTCTTTTCAGTTATATCTTTTTTTGTGCCCTTAGCTGCTAGATAACCTAATTTATAAAAACAAACACTAATTTATTTGTTTATTTTTATTTTTTACTAGATTTAAGTATCTAAGGGGTCTTCTTCAGATTGTCTTAGTGCATTCGTGTTGTTTAGTATTTACACATGGCTGTTAGACTGTATACTGAAAAACTGTTCTTATACTTTATTATATTTCAGGTGGAAATATGAGGAAATGTATGTTTGTGATCTTCACCTCACTGCAGATAAAGCATGTACACAGTGACCACGTGATCTAGAATTAATAAATAAATAAATAAATAACCACTACTAATAATATGATTTCTATACATTGTTTTCTCCTGTCGTTACATCATCCAGCAGGTTGTGCTTCACATGCATTTCTTTATTTATTTCCTCGAGGTCTGATTGGTCCGTGCGGACTCTCTGGACGCCACCTGGGTGCTTCAGGAGAACCACATCCGTTTGCACCATTAAGAGGTTTTGCGCTCCTTTGGGTCCGCAGACAACATCCGCAGCCTCCGACATCACTGGACACTGCTCCTCTACTTTTTTTCCTTTTCCTGTTTTCCTGTTTTTCTTTTTTTCTTTTCATGCACGCATCATTCATCAGTCATGGCGGACTTCTCCTGGACGGACATCAATAACGTTTTTTAAGAGTTTGCATCGAAACCAGCGCATCCTGTGCGGAGACTTTGACTCCGCGGACCTTTCCTTAAATGCCTTTCATTGAGAAAAGGCTTCGGACGTTCAGTGCTGTGAATGTTTACGAGCAGCAGATCACCTGATTAAAAATGGGGAATAAACAAACTATATTTACCGACGAGCAACTTGATGCTTACCAGGTAAGATGTGGAGCTGCGTGTGGAGACAGTAAGTCCAACTGGATCAAACAGATGTCAAATAACGTCCTGTCATTCATTCATGTGAGCAGATGATCAGCTAATTAAAAAATAAAAGTGTTTTTGGAAGAAAAAGTGGATTAAAAGCAAAGATGTATGTGCTTATAGAGCATTGGGATGCCTATTAGCTCAGAGTATAAATGCTTCAGTTATTATTTTTTCAAACTGACATTCCATTACTGCTTTTTTAAAAACAACTTTTAATGGTACTGAAAGGAGAAAACAGCAAATTTTCAGTCTTGATCACAAGCAGGTGCCTCTGGATTCCCCATCCATTTAATTAGTGATGCACAATAATCTATTTCCAGCCAGCCTGTGCTCAGTTATGCCTCTGCTCTCTTTAAATATTGACACCGTCTTGATAGGTGAGAATAGCCAAAGGTTTTGATTTCATTGCAAACTGGAGGATCTGATGCACTCGGAGTCGTCGTCCGAGAGCGCCTGACCTTCCGTTACCTGTTTTTTTTTTTTCCCATGAAGAAAGACATCTTCAGGTGCACAGGTTTATCATGTGATTAGGCGTGGGCTTAATAATTGATGCTAAGCCAGCGTGATATGCGGTGAAACTCTACTCTCAGGACACAGTTTAGTTCTCAAGAGCCTCTCTGGTTACTCCAGCTACTTGTTAAAAGCCCTTCTTAGGACGCTGTTGCTTCCAGTTTGTCTTAAAGTTGTTGTTTTCCCTCTTGAGTTTTTACTTCTGCTATTTAAAGGTGCAACAACATCAGCTGACTGGTCTGATTTGTTCAAAAAGTTCAAAGAGTTTAACTTCACGAACACGTCTCTGTTATCTTTCTTCATGTGTGGGCTTAACTCAGAGTGTAATAGGTCATGATGGTTAGTCAGGTACTGCTTCAAATACACTCTCACACACTTATCATCACCTAAACATCTTCCGTCTTGGCGTGAAAGCAAAGGAGGATGCAGGAAAGCTTTATTTTCTTTTTAAATCACACTGTCTGTAGATCCCAGCTGTCTGCTTCTTACACCCAGCAGCACAGCTCAGACAGGATGGACACAAAAGCAAAATGTAAATTGAGTTGCCTCCGGTAGGGCTGTTTGGGGAACGCGTGTGCCAACACATGCATGTCAGACAACAGCAGCTCATGTTCCCTCGTGTAGTCACACACATCATCATTTAAGAGAAACCAGACACCTAGAAGTGCGTTTTACTGTAATGGTTGATCACGTGACCTCAGAGGAACTGTAATGTCATTGTGTGTGACTCACAGATGTGTCAGTGATCTTGTTTTTTTATTGTTGGAACTTTAAATAAAAAATGTCAGAAAATACAGGGTTTTTTAATCAGTGTATTTGTGTTTTAAAGTGTTATTTTTTCTCTCTCATTGCAGGACTGTACGTTTTTCACTCGCAAAGAAATTCTACGGTAAGAGTTTTATTAGCTGTATCTTTTGGTCGCTGCTGATCCGGAGTAAAACACACGTTTCACCACCTGCTCCAGCCATGAGACACATAATAGTGTTACCAGAGTGTAATAAGTCTGTCTCCATGTGGTCAGCTCTTGCTGCGTGCACTGCAGATAACACGTGGCTGTAGCTTTGGCATGCACACACTGTAGGTTAAATCACAAACAATACATGCATTGCAAGACTCCCTAAAAAAAAAAGACCACTTCAGACTGAAATGATCTCCTGCTGGAGGAATTAAAAGTGTCTCATTCATGAGCTAAATCCTCAGAGCACCTGAGAAACTTGATGCTCAGGTTTCATTAGCAGCTGCAATGTGCAATTTTTATTCATTAAACTTATTTTCATTTTAGCACATTATCAACACTAGTTTGGCATAATTAAAGTTAACCGTTAGATGTGTATTGGTTGATTATTAGGACGGGTTTGAATGAATACTGTTTGGTGGCTGGGCTGCAAGGTGGTTCAGTTGGTAGCACTGTTGCCTCGTAGCAAGAAGGTCGCTGGTTTGCGTCCAGGTGGAGGCACCAGTGTGTGGAGTTTGCATGTTCTCCTCGTACAGCGTGGGTTCTGTCTGTCCCACAGTCCAAATTGGTTATTCTAAATTGTGCGTAGGTGTGAAGTCAGCTCCCCCCTACGACCCTAGTGAGGATGAAGCAGTGTATAGATAATGGATGGATGTTTGGTGGCTTCTGATTACACTGATTTAGAGCAATGGGACTCAAACAAGTAGAATTTTCACATTCAAGCACAATTTCACTGCTGTAACATATAATGATTTTTTTTGTCTTATTCTGTGAACATGCAGTTTACACTAATAAAATGATAGTTTGTAACGTACATTTTTATGTCAGTGTGTTTCTTCATACAAAACGCACATAAAACTATAGACGCAAAGCAAAATTACTAAATGTGGTCATTCTGAAACCACAGCTAATGTGGCACAGTGTGTCTCAAATGACTGCTGATGAGCATAAACAGGATGCCACACAAAACCCAAACACATACATGGCATCTCTAAATGTCACGGTGTGCGACTTTATTTGTGCAGATTGCTGTCGTCAGTGAAGATCTAGATGCTTCTCTCGTGTAGCTCAGCATGTTACCTAAGCCTGTGGAAGTCACGTTGACCTTTTGACTGAGGTGTTGTTTTCAGCGCCACCCGATGAAGTGTCACATTTCTACCTCTTTCAACATGTGCATCCCCAACATTTGAAAAAAAAAGAACTAAAAATCAATCTAACTGGATGTCATGACTCACCGGGTAGCATCATTTCTCTCTCCCTGTCACTCACCCAGGAGATGACGAGGATAAATGACGTGGGTTTTCTTTTTAATGGAATTGACCAGAGACGCTCACGTTTCAGTATCTTTTGTCAGCGGTTCTAGATGCTGGAAGATAAACAGCTACTTAAAGAAATTGAATGCACATACTGGAGGATGTTGCAGTGTAACGTTACATAATGATGAGAGTTGTGTGATGCAAGGCTTGCAGGAATTTGGTGTCTGATTTGTTCAGGTTGCAGGAGGGTTTTTGTTCCTCTAATAAGACGTGCAGTCATTAACGCTCTGGTGCTGTGGTACTTTCAAGAATGAAAGAACATTTTATACAACATGTTACTCCTATATTTTCTATTTGTTGAGCAGAGGAGATAAGATGTGCTACATTAAAGCCACAAGATTACTTCATTTGTGGTCAGCAAGACTTTCTAAATTCCATCTTCATCAAGCTGCTTTTTTCTTTCCAATATATTTCTGTCCTTTTTTTCCTTTTATAACAAGTGTGTGTGCATGTAGTTGTTCCACCTCCTGATATTGGATTGACTTTGATTCCAGGGCTACCAGCAGATTGGAAACAAAATTGACAATCGGCAGAGGGCGTAATAGGGTTCTGCACTTTATGACCTTCATAAAACACTCTTATTTCCGTCCACAGCTGCAACAGCGCAGTTATGTAACGTCGAGGGAAAGAGGCTCTCACTGATGTCCAGACTGATTTAAACCCTGTTGCCAAATCCGGCGTTTTAACATCAGATCATCATTTCAGTGTTTTGCTATTTTCAAATGAGCCGTCATTTTGGAAACACAAACTTACTAAACGTAATCAAAATCACAATGCTGTTTTGTCCTCATGAGATGAAACGCTTTGAAGGGTCACGGCACGTTCAAACTGCAGGTTTACTCATCATTTCCGGCAGCAAAGCCTTAAATCTCCATCACTTTGGCAGGTTTATATAATTTAATTGTAGTGAGTTTGTCCTCAAAGACCAGTGTCCCTGCTGATAAATGGCTCGGCTCTGCAAATGAAGGTTCGCCCTGACGAGATTAGTGAAAGGACAGGATGGAGTGGAGGCTGAGGATAAACACAGACTGTCCAGACGTCGTGCTCTTATCACTCATACAGCCTCCGGACAGTTTATAGACATTATTCTCTGTAATAAGTAACATTACAGTTAACATGTAATGAAAGAGACATGATGTTATTCACATTATACTGCTCTATAGTAGAGGGATTGTGTCCAAGGAAAAGCTAATTGTAAAAGTCCATATTACATCAGTGGTGCTTCACATTTTAAGGTGTTTACAGGAATATACTGAGTCGTGCATTGATGCTTTTGTAAATGTCAGCAAGTCAGAAGCAAAAAAAAAGGGACGCAATGCTTCATAAGTGTTTGTATTTTTAATTTCAGGTTGCACGGCAGATACCATGAGTTGGCTCCACATCTTGTACCAATGGACTACACCAATGATCCTGATTGTAAGCTGCCGTTAGCCTTGATAGTCAACATGCCAGAATTAAAGGTAAAAAGAAATGCTAATCAGCCTCTTCTACCTGCTCTCTGTCTTCCACCAGCCATCTGCACCAAGTTGCGTTTGCGTATTTTGCATCGCACTGCAAGGACACACACACCCTGACCAACACCTAATCAATACGCTCTCTCTTCCAGAGGACGGAATTGATTTTTAACCGTCAGCATCCCTGATCTGATTGTATGACACCGCATCCTGTGCGCTTATGAAAGTTAATGTGCCATGAAATGCTCTGGCTCTGTATGCTGACACATTCATTCCCTCCTATTTTTAAGCAGCTGCCATTTGAAAAGAACATCTAGAAATTTTAGAAATGGCATTAACGTCACAGCCACATTTGCCTCCACTTTTCTTCCCCCCCCACGCATGAATGCCGTATTGTTTAATATTGGCTCCTTATCCGCCGAGGGGTTAGCGCAGAGACTCATAATGTGTCCCTCTTCTTGGCGTAATTGGCCCTCGCTTGTAAAACTGTCAGGGTTTTGAGCATGGCAGGAGAAAGATGGAGACCACTGAAGGCAGGATCTATGAGGCCCAGATGATGCACAGTCACCCAAAGCACCTACAACTTCATAGCCATAAATACATCCTTATCTCCTTGAAGACTAATGAGCTGCGTAGAGTCAAATAGAGTGATTCAGGCTCCACTGCCTTCGGATATCAAGTCAAAAATGGCATCACTTCAATTTATTGTCTTCTTTTGCTGATCTTGTGTTGACCCCAAACTCAGGACAACATTGCTGCCAGGCGCAGAGAACACAAGTCTCCTTTGACACCGTCCTCTTAAATGGGAATTTACTCCAAGTTGTGTCGAACCACCTTATTATCTTTGATATAGAACTCCTAGGAGCAACTTATGGTTGGTCAGCGGAGGAGAAAATATTGGTTTCACTACACCGGCAAAGAGAGAGAGTCAGCTCTTTTCAGCTGAACCCTGTGATCAGCAGAACACACGTTTACACCTCTGCAGCTCGTATGTGATGCTGCATGTTAATGAAACTGTCATAGATTTTATCCAAACTACGTGCTGTATTAGAAATTATTTGGTGCTCCTGGTTACGAGGGTTATTACATTTAGGCTAATGTGTCTGCAGTTGTATAAATTCAAACGCCATCTTGTTTCAGGAAAACCCGTTTCGTAACAGGATCGTGGAGTCTTTCTCAGAGGATGGGATGGGAAATCTCAGCTTCAATGAGTTTGTGGACATGTTCTCAGTCCTCAGTGAAATGGCTCCCAGAGAACTCAAGGCCATTTACGCCTTTAAAATATACGGTAACAAGACATTTCTAATCATCCGTCACAATTTTTTGCAAATATCTCAGAACTAAATGGAATTAGATTTCACAGATATTTACTGTGTTCTCTGTTGCTCATAGATTTCAATGTGGATAATTACTTGTGCAAAGAGGACCTCGAAAAGACTCTTAACAGGCTGACGAAGGAGGAGCTGACTCCTGAGGAGGTCGAGCTGGTGTGTGAGAAAACCATCGAGGAGGCAGACTTGGACGGTGACAACAAACTCTCTTTTGCTGACTTTGAAAATATGATATCCAGGGCTCCGGACTTTTTAAGGTAATCAAATGCATGTTACTAAAGACAACCAATGTTTTGCAGTTATGTTTATATCTTTTAATCCTGAGCTTCCACTATTTAACCCTCTGAACCCAAAAACCTGGCAGCAGGTTTGAAAGATGTGTTATTGTTAAAAAATCAACACAATTCCACCATTTATCAGAGCCAGAAACAGTACAAATGGCAAATATCCTTGGATTTTTTTTTTTTTAATTTTCAGTACAGTTCTGCCAAGAAAACACAGCCAAAAATCAGCTTATAATTGAGATATTTGATCCAAATCATTTTATTCTATGTGTCTCGTTATAATGGCCCAAAATATAAAGTTTGCAGGAACCAGATTGTGTAACAAACAGAAAATCATTGCAACTGAGACGCCATGACTGACTCAGCAAAGAACAACAGTAATGTCGCAAAATTCAGGGTCTTTTTGGATGAACTGCAGGTTGTGCTGATGCAGAGCAGTTTAGAGACGAATAGCGAGATTGAGAGGATAATAACACATACTTCATAAATGAAGTAAATGTAGAGAGGCACAGAGGAGCAAGTTGTCAGCAAGTTGTTGGAAGATACATTCAGCATATTTGAAATATCTTCCTAATGTTGATGTGCAGAGTAGTTTGTAGAAGACCCAGTCAAATAGCCTATCTATAGCAAGTGCAACCCCATTTTTTGGAAAAAATCTTTTGGCTCTTGGAAAAATCTTGTACATATTGATTCCATTTTTTCTTTTTTCTTTTTGTGAAACAGTTAAAGAAATTGCATTAAAAAAAAAAAAAAGAAAAAGTCAATTTTTTTGTGATTTATGGCATTGTAGTTTTGCAATGCCCCACATGAGACATTTTTTGCAGTTCTCTCTACTTCTAGCCATAGCTGTTTCTGTAGAGAAGACTTTACATTGCAGTGAAAATGAGCTCACAGTTAGTAAAAACGTGACCGGAGCAAAGAACGTCCAGGAGCAGCTTGGGGGGTTCAGAGGGTTAAAATGCAAACAGCCTCATCCCTCTCTGTCCCATTAAAAATGACAAACACGTCACATGTTTAGGAATCCTGTGTTTACACTCACATGTACACTCAGACAGTATGTAACAGCTGAATCAAAGCTGATCCCTTGTATTCTTTCTCTTGCTTTTCCAGTACCTTCCACATACGAATCTGAGGGCGCTGAACGGACGTTTTCGAAGGTCTTGCTGAACCTGAGGACTCCAGCTGAACCGTGTTGCCTGTCTCTCATCGTCGTTGTCAAAAAAGGCATACATCAATCCTCTGCGGCCTCTTCTCCAGCTGTCCTTATCTCAGTGAAGACTGCTAAGTTAGGGAACAAAATACTGGATAAAGCTCAATTCCTGTAGATTCAAATATGTTCCTTTTACTACCTATGAAAGGGCTTGACCTGAATTGGAAAAAAGGCTATTCTTTCTACATTTTAAGGTTTAAATATGATGTCCAAAATGAGCCAGACTCTGGATTTGTGCCTGTTGTGCACATTGAAGAATGCATAAAACTGCTCATCTGTCTATATTGCACATAAGGTGAAGTCTTTGTACAGCGACACACTAAATAGTCAGTATTTATAATTTTTATGTATATTTATAAGACTATGGAGAAAGCTTGACGTGAATGAAAACACAGCACTGACATTAAGGGCATACAGATATTCTTTTAAGAGCTATGCAGTATTTGTAGGTGCAGTGTTTAGGTGGTGGAACTGGAACATGATGACAATCATATCTTACTGTTCTCCGGTTAGATTGAAGGGCTTTGTCATCCGGACTAAATATTGGTAGCTTTCATCTTCTGCCTCAGCCATTATCATGAGATGTTAGTTACAGCCATCTTTTGGATATGTATTTTATAGTATTTCATGTGAATTTGTCTTTCTTTGAATAAATGTTTTTCTTTCCCCCGTGTGTTCTGACTTTATCGCTTCGTGTGACTGCATCCGTGAGGATTATTCTCGACCGTCCTGACCTGCAGCTTTAATGAGTTCTTCATCCGACCAACCCACCCTGCACAGATTGTGCACAGTAAAGATCAGGAAATGACTGCGCCTCTGCATTGCCCATCATGTGAGCTGTAATAACTTGTTAAGGAGGATGTGATCAATAGGAGCGAGCTGCCTCAGCATTCACCACCAGCATGATTACGTCCTGCACGCACAGTTAATCTGAGCGGAAAGCCGGAGGAGATGGTCTGAGCCGTGCCGGTCGATGATTAACGGGTTGTGGTTTGTGGGCTGTTGGGTGCAGATTTGCATCAGGTACATATGAAGCACAGTGTACTTTTGTTCCTGTACAGCTCATGATCAATTGCATGTTGGGTAGCCGCACATGGAGGCCTTGTTATCAACGTGTTTTGTGCCACGCATCTGCTAACAGTCACGTCACGTCTGCAAAAATGAATATGACCTGCTTAATCTGTCACATACACAACAGCTTCAAAGTAGAAATTTAGACACCAGCTGCAGGCTGCGACAAAATAAAATAACAAGACATCCCAGGGTACACCGAGACCACTGCATGTGTTTTAAGTGGGAAAACAATTTGGTTATTCTCCTGTTAGCTGTTAGTAATGCAAACACAAGAAATGAGCTTAAGAAATCTTTAAACTGCACCTCGGGCCACGTACAAAACAGAAGCATCTGCACAACCTAAACACATCTGAGCAACACAAGTGTACAAAATAGAGTCACACTGATTATGAAAAATGATACCGTGTGCCCTATTTCGACTGAAGGAGGAGGATTTGTCTGTTAAGTCTGTTAAGCAGTGTGCAGTCATCAGAGCAGCCAGTTAATTCTCCCCTCCCGTTATCTCCACTTCCCTTTATGAGGGCAGTATCAAATATTCAGAGTAATACAGTGCTGATTGTGTGGCTTCATTAATTACTGGTCTCGCTCATTCCAGCAGAGAAGCTTCTGGTGCAACGTGATACTGGAGCTGTAAAGCAGCCATTACTGTAGGCAACTGTTTCTGAGGTAGAGAGGAGCCAAACAGTGTGAAAGTCACACTGGTTTCACTGCATGAGACCTTGTTTGCGTTAATTTGATCTGATTTAAGACGATGCCTTTAGCTTTCACAGCAGAACGGCGGGGGTTGTCGCAAACTGTTTCATAGCAAAGAGATTATTGGGAAAGTTGGTGCTGCTTCCATTTTTCTTACCTGATCCCATTAACAAGCTGTAAATAAACAATTATTAAATGGATTTTAACATGATAAACAAGCATAAACAATGACACTCTTGAGTTTGTAATGTATTCGTCGACATCAATGACAAATACTTTTGCTCTGTGACAACTCCAAGCTCCAAAACAAGGAACTTGAGCTTATTTTTATATTTATTTATGAATTTTGACCACATTTTTGAACAGCTTAAAAGCTGCCTATGTAAAATTAGTTTACCCTGTTCTCTTAACCTTTCATTAACTTATGGATAATTGTTGTCAATTACATTAATTAGGACTTAAAATGTCCATAATCCTGCTTACAACTAACTTATCCCAACAGTTTAAGTGTTTGTATAGTTCTAAATGCTAAATAACACTTCATAGTGACCAAGTCAAAGGGCATGTGTGTATGTATTATTAGATGTTGTCATAATTACTTCCTTTTCATTAGTATTTTAGCATTAATATAGTACATTCTCTTACATCGGTGTTACACAGAAATGCAGAAACCCACTGACACACAACCGAGCAGTTACGACATCTTATTTATCTGTTAACAGAATTTACGCCTTTTGTTTTCCAGTGACGCTTTATCATGTGGATCTCAGCTGTGAAAGAGCAGGTGACAGAAATGTCACAAAGTTGTTCATCTTCCAAGCTGGATGTTTGATATTTTCGTGGTTTAACACATCATAGTTTGCATTACATAAATTCGGGGAAACACCTTATTTCCTAATGTCTTTCTAACGTGTCCTTTGTGTGTCTGTACGTGTGTTTAACTGCTTAAGAAGATGACTATGAAAGCATTTGACGCAGAGCTAACCTCTTTTTTGTCGATTTACCGGCCCCGCTCAAACTAGAATTAGGAAAGCAAAAGAGCAACAGTTGATAAAAGACAATAAATGACCTTTTCGACCCGCTTCCCCATCGCTGCTACATGCAGACGTTTGAGATCTGTATGCAAATAAAGTTTCCTGTGACTTTGACTACATGCCGCGGCACCGATGGCAGCGGCATGTAGTCAAAACATTTTTAAACATCCGTGCACATAAAGGCCTTTAATGAATTTCCACTCAGTATTTCTCTGTATCAGTATGGCCTCATGTTTTACAGGAGTGCACACAGCAGGAGTTTTCTTCCTCGTCCTCTATTTCCTCATGAGAAAAACTATTAATGTTCTCAACTGTAATCTGTCAGTAACTTGCTGTTAGGGGATTCACTCGGGTTCTTCTGTACTGATGAGATGAAAACTATTTCCTGCAACATAAACTGTCATTTACTGTGAATCACACACTGTAGATGGAAGCTTTTTTTTGTAAGTTTTTTTTTTTGCTGTTTTTTTGTTTCATTGCCGCACCTGAAACTTGCCCTTATCTCGGATAAATTTTCATAACTGTAATTATCAGACAGAAAGCAATTATTTAAATAAAAAAGACATATGCCCTCATAAAATGTCAGTACACAGTTTAATTAATTACACGTGGAAACAAAAATGAAACTTTAACATCACAATTTTTAAATAAATACATAAAAATACAAAAGACGTCATTTGATGTTAAATATTTAAAACAAGTTGTCACAGAGTGCATATTAGTCAGCTGCACAGTAGTGTCAATTTAAAAAAACATTTTCGTCAGCAGTTAGTCAGGTAACCTCTTCACCATTTCCTCTTGGCCTCGGGGAACAGCCATTTCCATTTGTCATTCTGTGGGAGGTAAATAAGTTTTAATACCAAATAAATATGATAAACATCAAGTTCACTGTGGACAAGGAAGTATTTAAACTAAATCAGTTCAAACTAACCTTTAACCCCCAGGATGAGTTATGTTTGGGTCTGATGTCCTCCAGAGGCTCGTAAGTGTTGCTGTTGGGTTTAGGCTGGGCTGTTTCCTTGTGGCTGGGAATCAGCTCGTATGCACTGTCACGAGGAAAGCACCCGGCGGGAACTTCACCGGAAACCTCGGCGTACACAGAATCTCCGTGCTGCTTTGGGATTAATGATCTAGTGTCAAAGGGTGTAGTGTGCGGGCTGCCGGGCCGGCCAGCCAGGTGATAGACTGCACCGTCATTCATGCGGTCCAGGCTGTGGCTGCTGCTCGGTCTGCTGCGCGTATCCGTCCTCTCGGGCTGCGGGACGCTGCTGGTGGCTTGTCTGAGTGGTTTGGGGGAAAGTCTTGGCGGGGTGTCGGGAGGTACGCTCAGCCTGTACAGCTGCTCTCCGTCAGAGATGTTGTCCAGCAGCGGCAGAGACCTGCTCTTGCCTTCCAGCAGGCCGAGCTCAGAGCAGGAAGATTCTGGTCCTGATGGAGGACTACACCTTCCAATGTCTTTGTTTGTTGACCTCTCGGCTCTTCCTGGTAAACTGTCCTGGCTGATGTGTTGGGCTCGGGGGGATTGCTTCATAAGCTGAGCGTACAAAACCCTGTCTTGGTCGCTGGTGGGGCTGCTGTCGAGGTGCCGGCTCCTCCGAGGCAAAGGTGGTACTTCCTGTTGTATGAAACAGTTTCTTAAAGTCAGTTTGAAGATAATAAAACGGCTCTAATTTCATTGTAACACATGAGACAGGATAACTTCTCAGTAATTAATGCACTACACTCACCTCTGATGTCCTGTTGCTCCTTGGTGGCAGTGTAGGTTGCTGCTCTGAGTTACTTTGTTGCTGTCGCTTGTTGTTCACAGATCGGACGGGAACAACAGGTTTTTCTTTGGGGCTGAACTGGATGATATCATACAGCTCTTCATCCAGTTCCTGCAAGAACAAAACACCAGTCAGACCTTCATCTGGATCAGTGTTAAAAGAAAGGTATCAGAAAAGGAGTTTTGTCTCACCTCAAAACACGAACACGTCAGATATTCTCCGAACGGCTCGATGGGGCTCGTCTTGTAGTGTTCTATCAGGTCAGGCACCGTGTCGTGTCCTTCGGTGTCTCCACAGACCACAAACTGTCCCGTTTCACTCTGGTTTATCACAAAGTGTCGACACCGATCCCTGCCTCTGAAACAGGAAAAAATATGTTGTTAAAGCACTGATGAGACGTTATCGTTGGCCCCAATGTTACACCTAACAGGATCTGAAAATGTAGCTAAAATTTTTAAATAAATAAGAAAAAAAATATGGATAGAAACAGAAAAAAAGATTTAAATGGCTGAAACAACATTTACATTATCAGTAAACTTAAAAAACAGCATAATGTCAAATATGTGACTTTTAGAGCCGCTTTTTAAGCCACAAAAGAATAGCTTGAAAGCCATCTTTAAAAATATTGGATCTTTACGGCACTGAATTAATTTATACTTAAAAATTCGTAGAAGCAGAGCTAGGTTGTAGGAATGATCCACGCAGCAGCACATGATTATAATGCACATTTTAATCTGATGTTGTGGCTTGTTTAGACCAAACCAACACTCACTTATAGGACAGTATGTATCCGATGGCCTTATCGCTGAGACGGATCAAGAAACAGCCCAGCTCCTTTTCTCGGAGGATGTCTTCAGCATCCCTGTAGACACAACAACAGCACATTTAAAATGCAAACTTCTGAACTTTTTAGTACATCAGTGATGGTTTCAAGCCGATTTAGCAAAAGTTTGACAGAAACGGTGAGGCAGATTTGGAGCAGAACGAGGCGTAATTCGTCTTGGAAAATCCATTTCGTTACAAGCCCTTTCCATGAACCTCAATACCAACATAGATCTGACTTAACTGTCCCTTGTACTCTTTGTGTGGGTGTCTACGTTTGCTATGTCTGTCAGACGTAAAGGGCAGCAAGAAACAGTGGGTGAGCTACCAAGTGGACACTTTCCATTTGAGAAAAAAATTTGCTTGCAACTTGTTTAGACAAACAAGTGCCAAAAAAAAATCACTTTTTTTTCTTCTTTTTTTTTAAAGTATGCCAAAAAAAAACAAAAAAGAAGTAATCTTTACATTTGATTTGGAAATTCTCTATAAAAATAAGGAATTTTGTCAGTTTAGGGCACAAGATTTAAACTAACATTGAGAGTAAAACTTAATTCTTAAGCAGTTTGAGCAATCGTTTAATCAAAAAATACTTACTTTCTGCTGATGAAGCCCAGAAACCAAGTGGGTAAGAGGCCGTTGTTGACGATGAGTGGCACCTGAGTGTCTATGAACCACTTTGAGGCCAGTTCCCTGAGTCTCCCTTCAATGTTAGGATCCCCTGTCGGTTCCCTTTGCTCCATCTTCGCCCGATCCTGATCAAAACCACACGGACAACCAATGAAGACGACAATCAAGCATTCACCTCTCAGTGCCTGCAGTGAGGCAGTACATTAACAGTCTAATTTGCTTATTTTCCAGGAGGTGTCAACCAGACCATGAATGCAGCTCAATGTTCTCAAAACTGGCATCCCCAGCCTCTGTTTTCTAAGCTTTAGCGAACAACAAATATTTACTGTTTCATTATATTAATGTTTTACATGTTCCACTAAATCCATTCCGAGTCCAAAAACGTTGAAAGTTAGCTCAGCCAAATAAGCCTTCTGTTGACCTTCTGCGCCGTAATGTCACTGATATAAGACGAGCTTTGCATGCAGGTATGTAGTTAATAAGTTAGTCATTTAAGTGAAAAGCTCTAGTGAGATTTGGAAGCAGTTCTTACCTTGAAGCAAAGTTTGAAACAGGTCCTAATGTAGGGCGATGTTGTATATTTTTGATCCTTTTGTCTTGACTGTGAAAAGTGGCAGAACTTTTCAGATCTTGGTTTCTGTTGTCTGTAGCAGTTCCTTTCAATCCCTAGAAAAAGAATAAAAAGGATTCAATGTATTGTTAAACTCACTTACTGTTTCTGTAAAGTATTTTTCAGCAGAGAGAGAGAGAGAGTACGTACCTGTCCTTGAGATTACCAGTGTGGGGTTTGAACTTGCTGTCATTTCAGCAAACAGTAAAATGCTTCTCTTAACTTCTGAACTGTCTCTAATCTCCAACTGAAAGTGTTTTGAGGGAGTACGGCCCTACACTGGAGATATAGAGAGATGACATTTACTATTACACACACTTTTCCACTGGTCTGGAAAGCGGTCGGCAACGGCACGGCAAGCTCATACAGCTCATTTGCATAGAACAGGCAGTTCAGAGCTGCTGAACAAAGCAAGCGCTTCCTGAAGAGAAACGGAAAGCAAGCTGTGGTTTATGTGCGCACGAGTGCATTGGTTGGCGAGAGGAGACGTTTCACCATGGAGTGTTTGATTACCGTAGCAATGGGAGGGGAGTTGCGTCAGCCGTCGATCTTTTCTGTTGTCTGACTTGGGGTGTGCAATAAATTCAGATGATGTGTTGGTGAGGCAGGAGCAGCTGAGTGAAGGAGTGGAAATATCTGGGAAGATTCAGTGTGTTTGTTGAGATTTTGAGGGGCATAAACAAAACCCTAATAAGATGGGATATTACCCAGGGTTGTTTTTGAGGTTTTGACAAAAAGGGCTAACTCATTCCCCCCATGGCTGAGACAGTCGGCGTGAATCACCTCCATCAGTGTTAGCTCTGTGGGGCGCAGTAGGAACTCCCTGTGGGGGAAGAGACAGTAACCAGAAAGAGTCTGTGTCATACTGAGCGGGATGAGACTGGATCTCAGCTCTTCTTACTGTAAACACCAACACACGCTGCTATTCTGGTTTGTATACAATGGATCAAAACCTCTCAGATCAGTGGCGCTAAATAAATGCAACATTAACTCTATTACACTGTACAGAAATGATAAGCTTCCCTGTGATGGATGAGCTTCTAGTGCACTGTTATGTTCCATGTATGACTAAGTATTGCTGCAGCATCGCGGCTCAGAATTTCAACATATCCTTAACAGTGACTTCTGTCGGGCTCTTTGTGAGTCATCGTGTGCTCCTCTGGGGGAGTGCTGAAATCTGGGGTCACATGTTAGCACTGTATCCGTGGTTGTCGAGCATCTGTTCAACATTATGTGCAAAGGATCTCGCCGTGAATATGCAAACAATATGTGAAGAGTGTATTTTATCTCAGCAGCTGTGAGGTAAATGGAAATAAAAACCAATCCGATTATCAGACAGCTATCAGACTAAAGGCTCCTCTGCCGGATATTTTTTTCAACCTTCTGGCGCCACGCCTATGAGGGGGATGTGGGTCTTTGAAAGGTCACAAGTCAGTTAAGGCCTGTAAAATGTCATTACAACACAACCCGTTTGTGTACATTTGCTTTAAACGTCAGGCATCCTCACAAACAAACAAATGCTCCCACAAGTAAGCCTAATATGAAACTAACCAGAATTATACTGCATCTTGTAATGATGACAGTTTTCACAGATGATTTACATTTTTTTTATTTATTTTTTAAAAACTTTTTTATGACTTCTTCTGAAGCTCCAGTTTCGTCTTTAACAGGAGTTTTGATGGGAAAAACAATAGGTGTATTTCCCAGCATAAAACCTGTCGCCTACTGTTTACTCACAGTACCGGAGCCCACATACGGTACATCGTGTTACGACAGGTTCACATCTGCAAACATCAGTCAACCCAATATCTCATATATGTGCTGAGTAGGAGATGTTCCAACAAGGTAAACTCTTACAGATCTTTGTTCCTTTGTCTTCATTTGACTAGATGAGTCACACTGTAAATAACAAATAGCTGAGCGCATGTCAGCATATATTGAAGATAAAAACCGGCCTGGACCAGACTTATTGATACTGAGGGTTTAACAAAGAGCAGAAAGAGTGACAAATACCTTGCCACAGTTATTTAAAGGTTGTTTCACTGGTTCTACACGTGAAGATCAGTTTTCTACTCAGAGGCCACTTTATTAGGAACACCTGCCCAGACGTGTAACACAGCTCTGCCGTAGATCCTAATTTACAAAAATAACCTAACATTTTACAACAAAAACATTATATTTCAACACAAAAGGGAAACCAGTGGTGTAAATACATTTCCTTAAGTACTGTAGTTAGGTTTTTTTTGCATTCTACACTTTGAGTATTTCCATTTTCTCTGACTTTATTCTACAATTACTGCACTTTTCATCCCACTACATTTATTCGATAGCTTTAATTATGCCGTAGATTCTGATTTAGAATTAAAAAAACATGAATAACTAATAAATCTTGATGTATTTCTGTTGGAAAACTCCAAAGTGACGCCTTGTTTTTGCATTAAGGTGAAGAGTTTCGGATCTCGATGCAAAATCTGCTTCAATTCTTCTTTATCATGTAAAAAAAAAAAAATCATCAGCAACATTTGTTTAACATGTGTGATGATAATCATGGCCAGTATTACTATTTCTAAATTTTTTCATTCTTGTCCTATTTTAGCTTCCTTATTTCTATTTTCAGTCGTGCATCATACTTATATCTTATTGCTTTACTGTTAAGCACTGCATTTATTCTCATGTTAGGTAATTTTGTTTTTTTGAGCAACGTCTGGCCAAAGAATTTCCTTTGGCATTAATAACTTTTTGTCTTATCTTAGTTACAGACTTTTTAAAACATAGCGCTCCTTACATGAAGGATGGGTTGATGGCAGAGTCACAGATGAGCTTCTCCCAGCGCTGCCGTCTTTGTCTGGAGGACTCTTCCACCTTCGTTAACATTCAGCAGAGTTGCCGTTTTTTTTACGGAAGAGGCACAGATGTTGTAAAGTCATAAAGTGAGCGTTACCTGTGGTGAATCTTGTCAGAATCAGATGAACCTTAACCGCCGTGTTGTCCATGTTCTCATTCAGAGTCTGTCCCAACACCTTCGAGTCCTTTTCAAGGTGGCTCCAGAGGAAGGTGACGACATCGCATGGTCTGGGCTGGATCATGTCTCCAACACTCCAACAAAAAAAAAACAAACACTACAGGAGTTCTATCACATGATGCTCTTATTTAAAACCTATAAAATCAGACTCAGGTGGAACCTCACCCTCTGATTTCTCATGGCGCTCTCAAGCATGACCAGGTGAGTTAACAGCCACAGGACGCAGGACTGAGCGTAAGTCATCTGTCTCTCAGGAGCTTCGGACCTCCGGTGAGCTTCTCTGAGGACGTGTCCGGTCCGAGTCTGATCTCTGACATTTTACACACATTAAATTAAAACACAGATATTTAACCAAATGTCAAAAAGCTGCTTAACTGAACCAGAATGTACCTCTGTGCTGTTTGCTGAGTAAACCAAACCACTGGGACGTGTCCTACTTTACCAATCACAAGCCCGCAATCTGGACATTCAAATGATCAGGATCGTTATCAGGCTTCTGCAGAGCTTGATGATGAGCTGATCATTTGAATCAGGTGTGTTGGAAGAAGGAAACATCTAAAACATGCAGGATTGCGGCCCTCGAGGACCAGAGTTCGACACCCCTGCTCTAAATCTTTCAGAAAAGACTAAAGACCAGCTCTTCACTGAACACCTTTGCACTTGACTGCCGAAAACAGACAAAAAGCAAACAAACAAAAAAAAACAAAAAGAAAAAATCCTATTACCTCCCACACAGCCTGCTACTGGCATCAACGCCCTATCACACTTGAATTTGTTCAATGGCACGTATCTAGATTGATTTCTCCTGACTAGATCCTGGCTTGTGTTGTATCTGCTCTCAGATGTACGTCTCTTTGGATAAAAGCGTCTGCTGAATGAAATTGTAGAATTGTAGACCGTTAAAAATCACGAGCCACCATGTGCTCTGTCGTTGTAGAGGCAGAACAATGAGTGGACATTGTTAGGGCGACTGGCCTTCCAAGTCAGCAAGCACGAGATTGAGAAAATCCAGACTTTTATTGAAGACTGTGAGCTGTTGTGTACAAGAGTCACTAGTATTCAGACGTGTGTTGTTGTGTAGTTTGTCAGCATCAAGGTATGTAACGGCTATAATCAGGGTAAGGAACCTGAGGTCTGAGGGCTAAACCGATGTTGAGGAAGTGAATAGGGAGCAAGACAAAGTTTCACATACAAATGTAAAAATCCTTAGTTTTTGATAAACAAATAGACTCAAGATAATCAGAGATGGTTGAGCAGAACGGCCTTGATGATTTGAGGTGGAATGACCCATGTATGAGTCACTCTGAGTGACTGTAATTGTATTTGTCTGTAGAAAAATCGATATATAAGATTGATTAATGTCACAAATTTGAACTAGAAGCAGGAAAAACAAAGTGTGATGTGAAACAGCTTGTAGATGCTGCATGTCAAAGCCATGTTGTGGACAGCGTGACTGAGGGTGTGTTGAATGTGCTTATTGCTTGCTGGCTCGCCATCTGCTTTGTGTGCGTTAAAAAACATAGTCCTGGTTAACACTGGTAAGGTTAGTTAGAAAGAAAAAGATTTAAGGAAAAGAGAGCAGATGAAACTGACACAGAAGGCTAGATTCAGGGATGTTAAACCAACTGAACCATGAGCTGTTGATCCTAGTGTTGAGCAACAAGTGTATTCTTTGGTATAAAAAAGAAACACTCTTCCTGCCCACTGGAGAACCGACCAAAGGTTAAGAAAATCTTACGATCCCCTCAGATTAGCTGGTAAGTGGACGTAGCAGAAGCTAAGAAAAACTTATGAGCCACACGATTCGCCAAGTTAGAGCAGCAGAACAATCCGTGGACTTTGTTAGGATGTTAAAAACTATGAGCCATGTAGAAGAGTATCAGTCTGTCCATCTTTCTATCTGTCTGTATATGTTAGTCATAGACTGTATAAAAGATGGATGTAGCTACTGTGACGTCACCCGTTCGTTTCTGCACTGAGAAAATAAAGTTTTGCTACTTCCTGGTTGACATCTTGGATTTTTGGAGCCAGTGATGCAAAAATCGTCAGACAGGGGCGGAACCATAGGAGAAGCGATTGGTCAGACGGATTGAGAGGTGGGCCCTCTCTGCCCCGCCCACATTTACCGCCTTCTGCTCGCTTCCTCTGTATGGTCGCTGCCGACTGTCAATCAAGCCAGCCACGCCCCTTGCCCCACAAAATTTTGACATTTTTTTAAAAATTCAGTATTAATTTATTTTCAGATTGGCCACCTGATCTCTGGACTTGACCATGAAAACTAATTTTAAAAAAATCCTGAGCTGGAAGAATGAGGTATTTTGTGATCTGTGACCACTTCTTTTCCAATTCATTTCTATGGGAGCCAGGGCTTTTTGGAGCCAGGACTAGTGGACGTAGTGATACTGCAGGTTTTTTACACTTCCATCGTCCATCTTTTATACAGTCTATGATTTTAGTGAAAGAGAGAGAGAAAGATGGTCTAGTTTTTAAAATCTGATGATATGAAATGGAGTGAAACACAGACAAATATAGGTAAACATTATACTTAGTGTCACTCTTTTCCAGACAAACCAGTTTAAATGAAGTATTCAATTTTGGCCTCAACAGTCTCTCAGAGGACCTCCATCCGTCCTATAAGTCCCATGTAAGAAGACATCGTCACATCCCAAGCTGAGGTTTCAGAAGGACACAGAGTTTTAAATACACCAACTCAGTGCTCATTTAAGTAAAAACATCTGTGAAACAGCAGCAATATCAAATGTAGAGACAAAAGCGCTCATGTTTAACAATCATTGGTTTTTCCCACCGGCTAAATTTGTTCATCGGACGATACCGACATACGGGAAAAAAACACTAATATCGGCTTATACAGATGTAGTCGCCCGATATATCGTGCATCCCGAGTATCATCTCACCTCCTCCATGAAAATTTCTGGCAGTGGCCTCCTTACAGAGTAATCATGCCACTTGAGATTTGAGGTGGTTTAATACTATTTTGTCTATTTAAATGCATCTAGATTGCTCTTCAGGGTGGTTTCTTACTGAAGAGAGGAACCCCTGTCAGCATGTGCTGCAGGACTGGTGCTTCACCACTCCTGTGTGTCTCATGTTGACGAACAGCGCCTCCTAGTGGACACCCTGCACCGTCCCACCCACTCACACTCCCCACACACACGTCACCTTGGCAGCAAAAACTACATCTCCCATGCTGCCCTTGTCCGGGAGGCAGGCAGTCATGCGGATGGAAACAGGAGTGGGCATCCGCTGCGCCGCCCGAAGAAGAAAGTTCGAGGAAAGATGCACGAAGAGGAGGATGGCAGCGAGGCGCACTCCTGCACGGCGTCGCGGATCGTCCCCTCCAAGTCCGTGGATGTGGCCGACGTCGAGGGCTCCAAGGAGCAGGCCTCCAAGCTGTGCGGCTACTTGAACAAACTGTCCGGCAAGGGGCCTCTGAGGGGGTACAAGCCGCGGTGGTTCGTGTATGATCCCAGGAAATGTTACTTGTATTACTTCAAGACTCCCCAGGACGCGCTGCCGCTCGGACACATCGAAATCGGCGATGCGTGCTTCATCTACGACGTGGAGGCGGAGGAGGGTCAGTTTGAGATCCGCACCGCCGAGAAGGAGTTTCTGCTCAAGGTACAAACTTTCCAGCATGTGTGTTTTAAAATGTGACAGCAGTGCAACGCAGAGCTTGTTTTTTTTTTTGTTTTTTTTGTTGCTGTCATTTGTCACTTCCTTTCTCTCTGTGCAGACACACCCTTTGTAACTTCACTCATTTTTTATCCTCAGCTCTGATTTCTGCTGACAGGGACGTGATTCAGTCACAGTTTAAGAAGAAAAGTTGCACTGGAAATCACTTCCAGACCTAAGAGATTAATCAGCAAATGATGCAGCTGATTTCCACCCAGTGTCAGAGAGAGACCACTGTTTATGTCCAGGCTCTGGTCTACATGAGCTCATCCTGCCCTCATGGCTCACTGCATCTCATGTGATGATGCCTTTACTGCCCATGTCATATGACTGTGACAGGTTCAGGGTCAGGACAGGTGCCCCTGGTTGTTGTACCCAGCCTGGCTCCTACTGAGTGCCTTTTTTTTGGTTAGTTCTCAGCAGATGGTGTGAATGGTTAATACCAAACAGCTTGTGTACCCAGAGGCTGGAACTGAGACTGAAACCAGCGTCTGCTCATTCACATGACGGAGCCAAATAGTGACCTGCTCTCTAGAAGAGCCGTAACGGAGCTTTTTTCACTTTCCTATTCAAGGTGTCATCGCATGGAGTATTTAACCTTTGACTTTTAAAGATCCCGCATGTTGAAAATCCAGTTTTATTGTGCTCTGTGGTTGACATAAGCTTGGAGGAGCAAAAGCTTTCAGCATATGAAGACGTTTACTTCTGCCTTTAGCCTTTACAAGTCACTTTTATTCAGCTGCTATGTTTCAGAGAAACAAAGGAACCAATAGTTGTGTATCTCAAACTTTGCACAACCCTCATCCCCCTCACTAGGAGCTGCTTCCAGGTTCACCTCGCTGTCTACTGGGTTTATTTACTTTCTGGAGTTGCTTCTGTTAAATAATCTGATGTTCTGCTTTTGGTCCATCACACTTCTGAACTCAAAAGAAATAACGCGCAGTGTCACTTTTAATAATGCTGCTTATGAGCAATCCCCTGCCCATATTTATTCTATTTTATTGGTTTTTATTTGATCTCATTACCTCCTCACTGTGCTGTATATATCTCGCCTCTTTTGCGTATGTTGGGATTCTTCGTATCGTCTCCTTTATGTGTACGTTTGATTTTATTATTGATGGTTGTTAATTTAGCTTGTTCAATGCACCGTCCAGAGGAGGCTACTTATATTTTCGTCATGCCCCCCCATGTATAATGACAATAAAGCTATTCTAATCTATTCTTTTGACTGCAAGAGTGAACACAAGAGTTTTAATGCACTGCCAGCATCTGAGGAACTGAGGACACAGTTGGTTGCTTTTATTATCTGATGGAAATGTCATTATAACAATAGGGAAGTCAGAAATCAGAAATCAGAAATGGTGGAAACCAACAATTTCCCTGAGGTTGTACCAAAGGGATCAATAAAGTTCTTATCTATCTATCTATCTATCTATCTATCTATCTATCTATCTATCTATCTATCTATCTATCTATCTATCTATCTAAACCAATGAACAACAACTGGCTTGAGTAATGTGTTTATGTTCCCTGTTGTGCTTCAGTGAAACCTAAACTCATTCTGTGTTTACATCTGGTTGCTTCTCTCTTGCCCTCTGTGCTCACAGAAGCTGCATTTTCACACAGACAGATTTCCCAAAAACCTTTTTTCATTTACACATGTTTCTGTTTTTGTTGTCAGGTGATGGAACAAGTGTGAAAATATGTTAACCAGTCATCACTTCATTGCTGTTTTCAAGCTGCAGCTTTACTACAACCTAAACTACTGGTTTTACGACCACATCTTCATCTGACAAACTCAGCAAACACCACAGCTGTGCTTTGAATTCGGTGATATGACCATGTAAAATTATCGCTTGGGCAACAATCAGCGGCCTTGGTCTCACACACTTAATCACGTTTGTGTCAGCTGTTTTACTGCAAATCACAGATGCACAGAGAGTCTTCTTCCTGAATGGGAAGTGGACAGCAGCAGGTCAGCTGTATTTAAAGCTCCGGACACTGAAACAGCTGGTTAAGAACAGAACTAAAACCAGAGGTTATAGAGAGTGAGGCGAAATGAATCCTCTTTGCTGTGTTTTAAATTAAATGTGACATGTGAAACTTTTATTAACATGTGGGACAGTGTGAAATTACTGTGTTCAAAATGGTACACTGAAACTTTTGAAAGATGAAGTTGTTATTTCTATCCATTCAGCTGACTAACTGTGGCTGGGTGTTGTGTGTTTTTAGGCCCCCAGCAAGCAGGTGATGCATTTCTGGCTCCAGCAGTTGCAGCAGAAACGATGGGAGTACAGCAACACCCGAGGCACAGGTCAAAGAGACAGCTGGAGCTCACCGACGCTGGCTTACCCTCCCACCGGCCTTGTAGGCAAAGATAATGGTAAGCAGGCGCACACACAGAGTTATACAGTGGGTACGTACAGTTTGGTCACCGCTCAGCCACATCATGTCCAGCTCAAGGTAAACACTGATGGTTTCATATTTACACAACTGCAACAAACACACGAGCCATTTTCGTGCCAGGTTCCCTACTTTCCTACAGAAACACTATGTGGGAGTGGCTTTGTCAGGCTCTGATTAAATGAGAATAAACACAGGACGAAAAGAAGGAGTTCAAGTCAGCTTTATCTGGGGTGTGTTTTTAGTTTTAATGCACTCAGAAGCCTTATCGTGTGTAATATTTGCTGCTTTCAAGGTTCTAGTGTTGACACAAAGCAAGCATAACAGAGAGTTCATGTAGCTCAGGAGCATTTACAATGTATACAGGATGCACAGTTGTCCTCAGATGTATTCACACCCATCCAATAAAGAAAAGGCAAAATTCACAATAGTCACTCAAATAACTAGAAACTGAAAACAATAATAATAAATAACAATTTGCTAAATTATACTTTAGTGAAATATGATGTTGCTTTTGAATTGTGGTTGAAGAGAATAATTTTAAAAAACAACAAAAACTGTCCCAGACAGATTAGAGCACTTTGCTGATGAGCAGTGAAATCAAAATAGCTGTCAGCAGGTGCAGAAGTCTGATTGAGAGTTACAGAAAACACTTGATTGCAGTGATTGGCTCAAAGGGTTGTTCAACAAAATATTTGTTTATGGGTCCCATCGTGCTTGTTTTTTTTATATATATATATATTTCTGTTTAACCACAATTCAAAAGCAATGTCATGATTTTCATTAAATTTTTATTTATTATTACTTTTCTCAACTTATTTCAGTGACAGCTGTTTTTTTCCTTCTTTAATGGAAGGATATGAATACATTTGAGGATGACCGTATATTATTTTATTATTTACTAATTAACAAACTTGATTGTGAATCAAAGGAGCTGATATCAAACCTGGTGTTAAACTCAGTTGTTTTCATGTGCCCACAGTCCTCCTGGCTGTAAGAAGATCACTGAATAGTTGCCTCTGCTCATTTTTACAGATGTCTTAATTACATTTTGTCTTTGTTTTTATTTATTCAATCTGAAGCTGAGTTCTGTCCTGTGAAGCAAGTTCGACACAGCCAGGCCTTTTTTTTGTATCAGCTGACTCAAAGCCCAGCAGTGTTTATCTTTGCCTACTCGAGTTTTCTTCATCCGGTTCTGTATACGCTCCCATAAAAGGGGATGTTTGATACGCCAATTGATATTTGACTTCTTCACACAATGAATGATCGTGTGCTTCAGTCAAGAGGAACAAGTGGAGAGCTATGAGAAGTTGTTTACGGTTAAAACCACTGTTTCTGCCGATGATGCAAGACAGGAATGTTAGTAGAAAGTTGTTAGTCATGTAAGTTGGTATATTCATTTCACCACTGCACTACTTATTTATAAGGTCACAGCTGCACATAACGGATATGTGGAAGTCAATTTAGTTTGTGTCCAAATCAAAGTGAATATAATGTTGTTGATAGAATATCATCTATTCTGTGCTGATTACTGATAGACTCCTCTATTTTCTAGTCTGTGTTCTTTCAGCTTCAGTACCAGCAGTGTAAAACCGACTTGGCAGCAAATCAGGCCCAAGCATAAAGACATATTTTTGCATTTTCTGCATCACCAGCTGAATACATGTAGGTTCCCCCTGACAATGCAGTGCACACAGTTCTCCTACAGTAACTATAACTTCTAAATGGTTTGCTAAGTTTCAGATATGTATAGATCCATTTCCCTTTGCTCTTATTTATTGAATCTGAAACGGCTGTGAGTCGGTTTCACCTCAGACTTTGCAGGTAATGTTTGGGTTACTGTTTTGTCGGGAGCTGCTGTCAACATTTCTGGAGTTTGATTAAAATGTTTCTACGTGTACATAGTTCAACTTAGATGCTGAATGCAGCTTTGGTGTCAGATATTAATATATTTTGAAACGCATTATTATCCTGAAAAGACGATGTAATGCATCCATATGTGCTGCTAATAAGGGACTGAGATTCAGACAGATAAGCGACGCGAACTCTTCTGCTTGTTTTGACTGTTCTAGCTGAGTGAAGTGAACTGTGAGTCTTTCTTCCTTTTTCCTGCCATCATACACACCTGACACATGTGTTTTTGTTTTTCAAAGTGCTCTTGGTGCCTGTCTGCCTTTGTTATCTCTGCTCATCAGTACCAGTATGGTGGTATTTAATCCAGTGTGTTACACTTGGTTTCATCTCCCATGCAAGACATTGTGTGAGAGTTATCTCTGGCTACCTTTTTATTACAGCTGTTGATTAGAATTTAGTTTTTCTATAAGTCTGATCTGAATCTTGCAATAATGTCTAACCAAATTTCATGTCAATTAATATTACTTTTGAGCTACAATAACTCATCTTTCCTCTTGTTTACGCTCACTGAACAGGGCTCCACACTAACTTTTTCACTGGGAGCACTGGTGCGACCAACTTTCTCATTTGGTCCCACCTTTGTTACAGGCAAAACATATGACTCGCTGAACATTTTCTTATTGATAGACGCTATAATTTACAAGATGTTTCCTAAACGCTCCACATTGCAGGCTGCGGTGAGCTCAGACAGGTGTGCGACCAAAAACGACTTTAAAAACAATAAACTAGGGCGTTCTAATTTCAGAATTTCAGATTTGTGTGAGATGAAACTGGGTGTTTTTTTTAACATGCGCTCTTTTCTATGAGCAGAAAAACTAAACTGCTAAATGCATTATTGTGTTGTGTTTTCTGTGCATATTTAATATCAGCGGTGATGTGTGTTGACATAAAGGACAACTCTAGACAACTGCTAATTCAAAAAACTCCAGCTTTTCTATTTACTGTCCCACAATAAGTAACTTTACTTCTGCTCTATCCTGTTTGTGGAGTCCTAGTTTTTCTGTTTTGTAGTTAATCAATACCACTGAATTTGATATTGAGTATTAGATTTAACAGTTAGTTGCAAAGTCGAGCTTAGTGGAATAGTTTAACACCGTCGAAGGCTGAAGTGCAGCTTTTCCTGAAATCAAATGTAAGTGATACAAAAGCAGTTGAATGCACTGTTTAGTCACATCCTGTGTTTTTTCAGCCTCAGTAGACCTTGACCTTTTGTCACGGACTTTGGGAGAGACGTGTGAAGTCAGCCAGGCTTTCAGTTCACTAGAATCTTCCCTCCAGCTCTGTGTTATGTTGCTCTTTTTTGAGTCAAATATTAACATGTCTAAGCGCTCCTTCGCATAATTACCGAGATGCTGGACTATCTGCTCGTGCTCTTGACTGTAAAAGAAAGCGTGTTGTAACATGTGCGCCCATTAATCTGCCATCAATAAATTTGTTGTGTTAATTAAAGCTGGCTCAGGATTAGAGAAGATAAAAGGATTTGCTTTTTTTTCCCCCCTCCTGAATATTCCAAATAAGCTCAAATAGTCATATTTGCATTGGAATGAGTATGTCCTCATGACCACTGGTTTCCCCTCCAGCTGCTTTGTCTTATATAAAAGGTTTCACTTTCCCAACTAATTTTGTACTTCACAGGAACGTATAGATAGTACGCTGTTTGCAGAAACGCTACCAAGGTGTAAGTGACGGGTAAAAAGGTGATCATGGAGTCACATGTGTCCACTGGGCTGTAAATAGCATTCTGAGTAACACAGACTGCTGCTTTTCTCTGGAATTTATTCAGCTTCATTTCTTTTTTAGAAATCGACGAAACTGAGTTGTGATAGGACGAATGCGTTATTATCACCTTACTCGAATGGGCTCTGTGTTGTATTTCAGACGCTTTCCTCTTTGAGAAGCCGAGTGACAGCATGGAGAAGGTCCGCAGCGACTTTGCCATGGAGACGGAATCGGATGGTGGAGGAATGGTGGGGATCCAGTCAGCCAGAGGGCCCTCTGCTGCGTCCACCCACCCCCTCAACACCCTGAAAAACTTTGGTACAGAGCTCAGGTAAGGCCAGTGAAAGCTTTCTGACAATTTTTTTGATTTTTTTAAAAAAGGAAGTGTATTCTCAAGTCTTTGTTTTGAGTCCCTGCCGAACAGGCGTAACTAGTTTGTCGGCTGTGTGCCCTGATAAAGCTGAATTGAGGAAAGAAAATACCACTTCACTTCTTCCTGAGGTTGACTGCAGCAGAGGAAATGGTTACATCCATGGTTCACTAGTTGCTCTAGTATGCAGCCATCAACAGTTCCCCTTTAGGGACGTACAACACATCTATTCAAAAGACGTGACATGCTGAAATGCTAAAAATGTGACACTGGAATTTGCTTTGTGTCCACGATGGAAATAGAGTTTCCTTATTAAGGTGCACAGGAATCTGGAGCTGCAGTGTTGCCTAATAGTAATGGCTTGTACTGTTTACACACAGCAACTAGTTGTGTGATTTATTTTTTGTTGCCTCCAGACAACTGCAGAATCATTCTTACTGACACCAGGATCAGCTATTTTGTGCTACCTAAAATCTGTAGGTGTAGCAGTTTGTGAAGCTAGAACACAGGATCAGAACAGAAGCAGCTAAAGCTCAAGAGTACTAGCAACAAAACTGTGACGCTCGGAGACGCTTTGACTCACAGTTGTGCTCACAAAGCATGATTGAAGTGTGACCCATCATGGGGCTGCTGCAGATGACTGTTTTGGTTAAAATGCAGCGTCTGTTCTGTGAGGCGTGAACGGCAAAAAACATTTGTCTTGAACACCTCTGATATAAATAAACCACATTTCTTTGTGGTTGCAATAATGTCACCTTTAAAAGTGTGAAAAGCTTGAGTTTATCATAGAATTGAGTTATCGTCCATCAAGATCCGTGTTTATTTTCATTCAAGAATGCCTTCCTGATTGCAATTTAATGCATCGCTTTCCTCTCATGATAATGTTATTACTATTTTTCTTGCGCATATTTCTCAGGCTGTGGAGCTGTATTCTGGTTTGTTTTTTATTTCTCTGCAGCTGCATTTCTATGATTGTGGGCCTGCTAAGTGCACCATAAAGACATCAACAAAGGCTGTTCATGTTAACATTTATAAAATAGCAGAGCATCAGGTGATCCTACTGGACTTGAACAGCTTTTACCTCTCTGTCAGGAACTCCATGTCTTATCTGCGGCCGGGCAGAGCAGGTGACAACAGGCGCAGTGTGTTTTACACCAACAACAGCAGCGCAGACGAGTGGGAGATGGTGGATGCTCCACCCAAGGACTTCCCAGAACAGAAACCTCATCCAGACACACACAGACGTACGTCCACTCTCTGCTGCCTCACTCACACGCACTCCCTGAGTAATACTCATACTCAGCTTACATTCCAGATGACAGATAGCATTTGATAAAATTCTCTTCTCTCTCAGATTCCTTTGGATCAGCGTTTACTTTCGATTTTGTGCGCAACACCTCGCGGCCCAAGAGGCCTTTGCTTCGAGACATGATGGGCTCTGGACGGTTCGGTCGCAGCGCTGAGACGCGCGGTGCTGAAAACTCGGCGGTGGAGTGCAACGGCAGCAAACCTTTTGAGATGCAGCTTCGTCTCCAAAGCCAGCAGGAAGAACTGAGTCAGATGCAGCAGGAACAGATCAAACTCCGAGAAGAGCTGGCCAGTCAGAAGGTACAGTTATTAATCCTAATGTTTGTATTTGATGCTGGTGTACAGATCACATAAAAACTTTAGATTCTAGGGGAGAGCTGTTGGCAGAAAGAGGTTTGGTGTAAAGCTGTAAAGCACCACTATTGATACACATAGTTTGTGAACTTTCGCCATTAGGGGAACTACTACAGTGACTAGAGCGCTTTTACTATCATCTGGGTTAAAGCGGCACAATCCTGGGGTTGTGGTGTCGGACTGAGTGGCTTGGTGTTATTCTGATGCTCTCACTAACACAGGAAGGCAGAAAACTGATTAGTCACACTTAAGCAAGCGACGAGGAAACAGCAGTTCTCCTGACAACAATCACAGCTGTGGCGCTCCTTCCCATTACTCTCTGTTCTGTTTTTTTGTGTTTTTAAAAGAGCCAAATGGCCACAATGGCTGCAACCAGGCAGATGAGTAAATACAGTATGTGTGTGAGCTTTATCTGGTGAAGTCTGGTCTACTTCCAAGTCAAACTTAACAGGAATGAATTGAGTAACTGTGATTCGCTAAGTCAGCTGTTTGTCTCTCAGTAAGCACTGATGAACATGTGGAAGTATTCAGTCACCTTTGGGACTGTTCAGGTCAAGTGGACCAAAGACATTGTATTGTTACTACTGTTGCTTCATAGCTTGTGTGTAGTGTTGGACCTAGTCAGATGTCATTAGTTCTACTGCTTTATACCATTATTGCAGTTTAAGTTAATCCAAGCTGCAGGCAAAGTTATTTTTCCTCTATGGTGCTTTAACAGCAGCGATTCATGAGCGATGTGATGTGTTGCAGTTAAATCCTCAGACTCTCTGTGAGCACTACCTTTTTGTTAGAAATATAGTTCCTAAAAAACACAGCTGCATGTCATTCCTACAGTTACTTAATCAGTGTCTATGCGACCAACAGCACGTAGGTTGTGTAACCGCACGTGTTGCGCATTCATCAGTGTGAATGTACGTATTTGCACACTGGCCACATTTTCTCACTGCAGCGTGTGTCATGATGTACACAGCTATGGTAAACTTTTCTTTTTGAATTATATGCTCTGTAATTTGATGAGGTGGGTTATCTGAGCACAGTGGTGCCTGTGTTGCATGCTGCTGCGGTCAGCGTGGCTTCTGTCGAACGCTGTTCACGAGCAGAGTTCTCTCCCAGGAAACTGCTCGGCCGAAGTAGTAAGATGCTGATGAACACGACTTTATTCGTATGCAATGGCATGAACAAAGCAACACGAAGTTTTTAGATAACGGCATAAATGTATATATTTTTTAATATAATCATTTTGTAATTGTAACGGAGGTACAGTAACAGGCTACAAAACTGAGGCAGAGATCTTCTTTTCCCCACACATTGTCATTTGTAATAAGCCACTCAAATGTAGTCCATTCTGCCCATTCTGCAAATAAAATACTGTTTTCCACTGCAGCATGTTTTAGGTTGACTTAACTCCCCTTTTAGGACTTTTTTCAGGGCGGTTTTTGTGGAAGAAAAGAGTACTTACTCTAGGGTAGAAACTTCTGAGCGAGACTGAAAATCTACCAAGTGGAGCTCAGGGTTGATGGGCTAAACTTGGGGAAGATCAAGATATCTCGAGATATCTTCTCTCAAACATCATTATCAACAATGTAAAGTTTTCCTTTACATTGAAACCAGAAGTTTACATCCACTGCATAAAAAGACTCATAACCATTTTCCCCTCACTGTCTGACATTAAATCAGACTAAACGTTTCCTATTTTAGGTCCGTTAGGATTAACAAAATTATTTCTATTTGCTAAACACCAGAATAATGAGAGAGAGAGAGTTGTATAACACTCTCCAAAAACACAAAATTACACACACAAGAATATGGAAGAATGGCCCCTAAAAACTATAACACGGGGCAAAAATGTTGGGGGTCCCCCCACAAAAGCCTCACACAAGAGTGCGCGAAATTAGGCCCAATCCCCCCAAAAAAAACGGGGGAAACGAAGCAAGGTTCCTGGGCTCCCTGCCCCAAAAAACCCTTCAACTTTGCCCAAAAAATTACCAAAAGAATGAAAACAAGGCCTTGGAAAGGGCAACCCAAAAAAACGAACTTGGTGGCCCGAAAGCAACTTGGCAAGAAACCGGCGCCAAGCCTAAGGGCAATGGCCAATTGGAACACCCATTTGAGCCCAAGCTTTAACTTCCTGGCTGATGTCTTGAGATGCTGCTTCAATATTTCCACACAATGTTCTTTCCTCATGATGCCATCTATTTTGTGAAGTGCACCAGTTCCTCCTGCAGCAAAACACCTCCACAACATGATGCTGCCACCCCCGTACTTCACAGTTGGGATGGTGTTCTCAGGCTACAAGCTTCCCCCTTTTTCCTCCAAATGTAACGATGGTCATTACGGTCAAACAGTTCAGTTTTAGTTTCATCAGACCACAGGACATGTCTTCAGATATTAAGGTCTTTGTCTTTGTGTGCAAAACTGTAGTCTGCTTTTGTCAGTCTTCTTCCTCTCTGAGTAGCCTTTCAGCCTATGTCAGTACAGGACTCGTTTCACTGTGGATAATGACTCTCTCAGCTTCAGCCAACATCTTTACAAGGTCTTTTGTTCTGGGGTCAATATGCAGATTTCTCACCAAAACACTTAATCTCTGGGACACATTAATACATACAAACATATAATTGTGTGAACAGATGAAGGTGGAACCTTCAGGCATCTGGAAATTGTACCCAAGGATGAACCAGACTTGTGGAGGTCCACAATCCTCTTCCTGATATCTTGGCTGATTTCTTTAGATTTTCTCATGTTGTCACAAAAGGAAGCAGTGTGTTTGAGGTGTGCCTCCAATTAACTCAAATGTTGTCAGTTAACCTAGCAAAAGCTTCCAAAGCTATGACATCACCATCTGGGCTTTCCCAAATAATTTCAAGGCATCTTAGTGTATGTAAACTTTTGACTTTGAAGAAACTCAGTTCCACCAGTTCTGTCAGGAGTAATGGGCCAAAAGTCTGGAAAACTACTGTGAGAAGCTACTGGAAGGAACGGTTTAGTATGATTTAATGTCAGAAAGTGAGAGAAAAATGTCTTTTTATACAATGTACGTAAACTTTTGGTTTCACCTGTGAGTCCAGTGGATCCTACGCTGCGGTGGGAACAAAAAGACTGAAATGGTCGATTAGGGTTCTGTTCCTGTAAATGTTGTTCCTGCAGTGAAAAAACACCTTAAATGAGCTGCTGAGATGAGCTGACTGGTTGCATCGTACACCCACAACAGCATTTGTAAATTTACCCCAGAAAAACAAGAACATATTGAATCCTGATGCTGACCCTGCAACATGATGTGACCAAAAAAAAATGTTCTTCTTCATCCAGGAGCTGGTGAGACTTCTGCAGCAGACTCTGAGAACCTCCCAGTGTGACCCGCCGACAGCGCGCCGTCCAACCCTGGCTCCAGATTCATCTGCACCTCCGGACCAAGCCCAAACTCCAGTAGTACCACAAGAAGAAATCACCCAGCTGGAGGCCCTGCTTCAGGAAAGAGATGGACAGATTCAGTCGTTTTGTGTTCACATGGAGCGTCTGGGCTTGGAGAAGGAGAGCCTGCAGCAGGAGCTGAAGGGCCTGAAAATCAAGGTGGGGGAGATTAACGACCAGCTGGGAATGCTGATGGAGACCATCCAGGCGAAGGATGAGGTCATCATGAAGCTGTCGAGCTCGGAGCAGAGCGGAAATCCAAACGACGGCGGTTCATCACCACCTCATAAAGAGCAGCAGGAGGTGGACATCCTCAAGGTACAGAAGGGAAAAAAATAACAGATTTATAGTTGATTTAGTTGAAGATGCAGCTTTAAAATAAACTAAAGCACTTATTCTGAGGAGTGAATATAATGTGGAGTTAGTGGAAAGGTTGTTATTGTGTTATAGAAGTCATTGTAGATGCTTTAGTGCTACATCAAGCACATATTTTCTCATGTTTTTAAATTCTGATTAACTTGACGTACTGCATGTTTTTTTTTTTCACTTTCAGGACAGTCTTCAAGGCTACAAATCCCAGAACAAATTCCTGAACAAAGAGATCCTGGAGTTGACAGTCTTGCGCCGAAATTCAGAGAGTAGAGAGAAGGCCTTGGAAGCAAAGGTACGAGCTAGTGTTTGGTGGTTAATGTTACATTACCCTGTTAATAGAAAAAGGAAGTCTAAGTAGCTGTAGGGGAAGTCCAACATTGACCTCAGCTGGTACGCCCCCAAACCTAAAAATGCCAAACAGAGAAAATAATTTTTTAAAAAACACTGTTTGTGCCTTCTCCTCTGATCTTTGCTGCAGTGTACGGCCCTGGAGGCCAAGCTGTGTCAGGTGGAGAGTAAGTATTTGGTGCTGCTTCAAGAGGTGAAGACTCCAGTGTGTTCGTCTTCGGAGCAGAGTCCTGCCCGAGAGGTCATTTCCAGATTATTAGAGGACGCGCTGCAGGCAGAGAGCCCGGACCAGCACGAACACCACATCTTCAAACCAAACACTGTCAGGTAGAAGAGAAAAAGCCTTATGAACTTGTGCTTTTTGGGGTTTTCCAGGTTGAAATTGATAGTAGCTCTCTGAAATCAAAGCAGTTTCTCTATGTTTTTTTTATTTACTCCTGTCACATTGTTGCTCACTGTTGGCTCATTTTCACCGCAATTTAAATTCCTGCACCTCTGTGGAAACAGCACAACTATGGCTAGACAGAGGAAGAAGTCAAAAATGTCTTTGGTGCAGCAAAATAAAGATATAATGCCACATATCTAAAAAAACAGCAAATGTTAATTGTCTTTGATTATTTGTCTTACAAAAACTAAAAATTTTGTCATGTTGGTTGCAGCTGAAGTCACTTGTGGCCTCACAGCTGCACCAAGGAGCACGAAATCTTTAGTCTTTTACAAAATATGTTGAGAGCATAGGGTGTTTATAGTGAATTTTTAAATTAAACCTGTAAAATAAAGTGATTTGTGATGACGAGATTAGATTAATTTCTCCACAGGATCTATATGACACAGATGAGTAGTTCATGGACTGTTGGAAAGTTGTAGAATCCAACAATCTTGCAGTTTTAAATGTTCGTTTTAAGCTTGCCACCGGGTTTCGCGGTTCAGAGTGTTAAATTGTTCAGCAGATCTGATATTAAAAATAAAAAATCAGCACCAATACATAAACTGTCAAATTACAGGGAGGCATTTTAAACATAGTCACACTGTAGCTTAGCACCAAAATAACAGTCTGTGTTATGAGAGGCCACAGTGAAGCCCTCAGCATTCAAAGGTGTGCAGTTTTATGTAGACGTGGCATTTTTTTTTTTAAAAGCAGAATTGAAAACAAATCAAGGAAAAAATTACCACATGAGAGAAGACACTGGTTTTGCCTCTGTATCCTCAACAGGCTCAAATACAATGCACTCACAAGACCTGTTCTGCTTTGATAAACTGCTGCATGGAATTATCCTTGACTGGAAAAACTAGCTCTCCTAATTGGTATTTCTCTTGCTGTTTGCTCCGACTTCCCTGCAAGCTCAGGCACGTCCTTATGCGGCTCATAAAAATGTATTGTTAGAAATTCAGGAGACCCCTGAGTGATGTGGAGCAGAAAGCAAGTTGAGGAAATGTAGTTAACCTGCCAGCTTTCAACAAATCTTTGAATTATTTTTGCATCGCTGGCTGATGATGATTTCTCCTCATTTTCCCTCCGAATTGATTTAGCGAGTACGATGTATACGGCTTCAAGACGGTCCCCGAGGAGGAGGAAGAGGAGGAGAAGCTGATTGCAAAGGTGAGGGCCTTGGAGCTGAGGTCCTTGTCCATGACGAATCAGGAGGTGTCCATCGGGGTGAAGTGGGAGAACTACCTGGCCAGCACCATGAACAGAGACCTGGTTCGCTCCCCGGAGCTCAAGGGGCTGATTCGCTGCGGCGTTCCCCACGAACACCGATCCCAGGTGTGGCGCTGGTGCGTCTCCTTCCACGTCAAGAAGTTCAGAGACCAGCTGGCACCAGACTATTATGAGACCTTACTGAATGTGGCCCGGGACAGACCCAACCCGGCCTCCAAGCAGATCGAGCTGGACTTGCTGCGTACTTTGCCCAACAACAAGCACTACGCCTCCCCGAGCGCAGGCGGCATCCAGAAACTCAGGAACGTGCTGATGGCTTTCTCCTGGAGGAATCCAGATATTGGCTACTGTCAGGGACTCAACAGGTACCGGAGTGGATCTAGTTTCTCTTCTTTTCTCTTTTTTTGTACCTTGTCAACATACATTTTTTATTTATTGTCATTTCTTCAGGCTGGCAGCGATCGCCTTGCTCTACTTAGACCAAGAGGACGCCTTCTGGACCCTTATAGCCATTGTGGAGGTCTTCATGCCCAGAGACTATTACACCAAGACTCTGCTCGGCTCACAGGTTATTTAATCAGTTACACTCTCACCTTTTTACAGAACAAGTTTCTCTGGTGGCAGCGATGTCACATTCAGGTGACTCTGTCTGCTGCTGCTGATTTACCAGAGCAGGAAAGCAACACAGCAGTCAGCCCGCTTTGTTTCCTTTCTCTCTGCTGGATTTGACCTCACATCTGCTGTGAAAATAAAGGCCTCGGTTTAGCTATAAAGAGATTAAAACGTCTTGTTTTGGTTTGTGCAGGTTGACCAGCGTGTGTTCAAAGACCTGATGAGCGAGAAGCTGCCGCGGCTTCATGCCCACTTTGAGCTGCACAAGGTCGATTTCTCCCTCATCACCTTCAACTGGTTCCTGGTGGTGTTTGTGGACAGCGTGGTGAGCGACATCCTCTTTAAGATCTGGGACGCCTTTCTGTTCGAAGGACCAAAGGTAAGAGGCAAGGGGGAGAAGCAAAACTGGACATGAAATAAGGAGAGTTTTGAAAATTGTTGGCTGAGTTGAAATTTACCTGCTGCAAAGGTCGCTTGTCTGATTTAGTTTTTAGCAAACAAAGTACAGGGCTGCCCACTTAATGTCATACTGCCTTATAAAATATCCCATTTATAATCATAAAATGTTAAAGTTACGAATCATTTCCTTTATAACCTACACTAAAAAAAAGCCTGTTTGTCATAGAATAATGTCGTAATCCTGGTATTTGTCATAACAAAATTCCCTGAAATTGATTCCAGGAATAACGTTTAAAGTCATGGTCGGCCGATCGTTCCGGCTCACAGGCTGAGCGTCGGAAGGCAATTTGTTTGTTTGTCAATGGCCTGCTCACCTGAGAGCTGCTTCACTGAGTTATTCACACACTGCCTGACATTACTTAGGACACATTAAAGAGAATCGCATTGTTGCAGAGCGTGTCGTCACTCATAACTGAACTGCTCAGCTAGTTAATCATGATAAGTTAATCCTCTGTATACCCTCTGATTAAAGGAAGTAACTTATTGATGGGGTGGCTTTTCGTACCGACAAACATGAAATTTTACTAAAGCAAAACCATAAATCTCCATTTGAATAAACATTTCTTGATCTTCAAAGTAACCGTCCCTCTGATCTTGTGAAAACATTCCTATTTTGGCTTTACGTATAAACTCGCCGCCATCTTGAAGCTTGTTTTTTTGAATATCCCGGATACAGTCATAATTCCATCCTGGACTGAGGGTATGATAATAAACGGGCAGCACTGTAGTAGAGTTATGGCAAAGTTAAAGCTCCGCTATTTGTCTTTCATTGACAATGGATTAAATACTTGCGTAGTTTCTTGTATTAATGAACCTGCTTCAGATGGTTGATTGCTTTTAAAGCCTTCAAATTCTTGCTGCTCTAATCCTCATTTCCAGAAGCAACACCTACCATGTTACAAATCAAACCAAGACGCAACCAAGAAAAGTGTCAGAATTTGTGAGATGGATCCAAATTAATGCTACTGTATCTGAAGGGTTTTTAATTTAATTTGAGGACTGATTTTTTGGGAATTTTTGTAGAGAGATGAGAATGACACATAGTCAGTGGTCCCCAGTTGGGTCTCTTGAAGAATTTACACAACATTAAACATGTAATACATGATTTTTGGCCACTCAATAGTGAAAATAATCTTTGAAGACCACAATGACATATCATCATCTTGTTTTTTTTTAGCAAACAGTTGCTTCATTAGACCTTCAGTCGTGATGACCAACACTGGAATTTGTGTTTGTTTATACCAGATGACTCCAAGTCCAATATTCATTCTCCTTTTTTGATTTCTCCTAAAGAAAATATCAGAGTTTTGAGCTGCTAAATGCGTCACTACATTCCCCCAGCTCGTCGCCAACGATGATTCTGAACAGGTAGTGGGGTGTTTGTCGAGCTTTCTCAAAGAAAACAGCACAATCTGGGAGACCAGACAACAAAAACAAAGAGTTAAAAGATACTAGAAAGCTGAGGGACACTGACGAGTTCAGTGGTAATTTTTTGTGGTTTTCATCACACTGAGCGAATCTTGTCACACTCCAGTGAACTCAGTGAATAAATAGTTTTTGCCTCAATGTGACACAGTGAGGACAGTGTGTTCAGAGGAAACGTCGTGTCCAGGCGTTCCTCCAAACAGGATAAATACCGTTGTGCTATACAGTCACTCAGGGGAAGTTCACGAGTTGGATTTCACAGCTTTGATTATTTTTCTCCACAGATCATATTTCGCTGCGCCCTGGCTCTCTTCAAGTACAAAGAAGAGGAGTTTTTGAAGTTGCAGGATTCCACAGCCATCTTTAAATATCTCAGATACTTCACACGCACAATCCTGGATTCAAGGTAAATGAAACTAGTTTTAGAATTTGCAGTCGAAAAATAGGCAAACATTTTATAGTTTTCTATTAACATACACCTTTCATACATAAACACAGAAAAAGAAAATACAAGAAGGAATGCGCCCACCTCCCAAGGCTCGTAAACAGAAATTAAATTAAAACAGAAAAATACAAGAGCAACTACAAAAACAGTCAGATAGGAACCTCTGATCGTGTGTTGAGTGAACTGGTATTTTGAGAATGTCATAAAGTACTTTTAACTTCCCAGAACAAATAGTGTTAAGGTATATAATTGAAAGGGAAACCCTTCTACAAACTCCAGGAAGGGACTCCAGGTCAGGGTGAAGCTTCTGTGGGCTTTACATATCTTATATCTCAGTTTCTCTTCAGGTAGAAAAAAGTAGATCCCTCAACCACTGCAGAAATGACGGGGCTGAATTTGATTTCCAATTAAAAAGTATGAGTCTGCATGCGAGCAGGGAGGCAATTTGAGAAGTGTGACATTTCTGAGGACAGTGTGTCTGCATCTAAAAGGAGAAGAACCTAGAAATATTTGATGAGACCTCACCTCTGGGTAGCTGAACGTCTCTACAATGTATGAGTTTTGCAGTGAAATGTCATCATCAGTCCAAGATGTATGTTTTGCATTTCATAGCAGCCCACCAATACTTGCTGATATAATTCAATCCAGATTCCAGACAGTTGTGAACCAGTGACCTGCACACGTTGGTAAACTGATGCAATGACAGTTATAACAAAACCTAATCAACAGGGACATCAGGATGTCAAATACAATTCAGCGCATCTACACAGAAACAAGCATGAATTAAAATAAAAGACAAAAACATTCTGGGCTGACAGGACTGTTGTTTTCTACTTTCCAGGAAGCTGATGAACATCGCGTTTGTGGACATGAACCCGTTCCCCATGAGGCAAATCCAGAACCGCCGCTCCTTCCACCTGGAGAAAGTGCGTCTGGAGCTGACGGAGCTGGAGGCGATCAGACAGACCTTCCTCAGGGAGAGAGAGACGAGTCAGGACAGACGCAGCTTCGTCAGCGACGATGAGGAGGATAACTGACCTGGAGCTTGTCACGCTTTCCAGGCCATGTGGCCCAAACATGAAGACAAAGAGATCACTCCGCGGACCGGCGATGTGTTGAAGGGAGTCTTTTCGCTACTTAATCGTTGGAGTTGGATCTCTGCATCAGAGCTGGAACGAACAACTTTCTCTACATTTTGAGTCAAATCGCATCAAAGGACCAAAACATTACAGGCCAAGCGGGCTTTTTATCAGTATTCCTGCCATTGTTTTTTAATTTTTATTTTATAAACGCCTTATATGCTGTACGCGTATGTGTTCATGTGATGACCAAAGCAGTGTGCTTCATCCGCGGCTCTTCAGTGCCAACTTCTGTCCAAATCAGTATTTTTAAACATATGACTGTGATCTCTAACAAGCTGATTTTTTTTTTTTATGCCCGTTGAAGGAATTTTTGCATTATTTTTAAAAAACTCTTGTTCTCATTAGAATTCAAACTCTTTCTTTGTCTCCAATTCCTTACATAAATGTCTTTATTATTGTTTACCTTAATTTTTTTTTTTTTTAATTTTCCAACTGCCACTCAGCAACACATCTTTTGTATTTGATGCCTGGGTCTTGATGCACTCGAATCACTTAATGCTGAAAGTGAAATTTTGCTGAAACTTAAGTCTTAAGGCCTTCAAAACATATAGTTCCCAGCTGTGTGTGGTTAAAAACACGCTCAGAGAAATGCAATGAAAGGATGGATTGAAGGTGAGGAAGACTGAGTTTTTTTTTTAAATCAAATAACCTGAGACACACCAGTTAAGCCATCATACTAATGCTCTGAGCCGATATTGTATTTTCAGGTGACATTAGAGAGTCCAGTTTCATCTGGACTTATTTGGCCGTGTCATTATTTACAGTATATTGCCAAAAAAACATGTAATTACTTACATTTATCAACACATATCTAAAAAGCTCACACTGTTTTGCACTTACACTCGTGTTAAGTCGTGTGAAGGCCGCTGGTTTTGATCAAGAGAATGTCTAAAATTGGCATCAGCTTCAAAACATCCCTAAAATTACCTGATTATCTCACTATTGTATTAAAACATTTGCCCTAAAGCACCCTGGCCTCGGACTACAGCTCTTGATCACATTTGTATATTCCTATTTTTCTACGGATCGCGAGGTGTTCAGAGGGTCCACTTTCCCCTTGTATAATGCTGGGATTGTTTTTCTGAGCCCCACCACTGAAAACGCTGATGTATTTGCATTGATCGTCCTCAGTGTGGCAGTATAACATTTATCTAGCTGCAGGTTACACTCGCTCACAGGTACCTTCCACACAGTGTGACTAAATAGTTCGTATGAAATGATTGTGACGTCTGTCTGTCGGCGTGATTGGAAATATGGTTCGGAATCTATGAGGGAAGTATTTCGTGAGATTTTCTCGTCATGTGTAGTCAAGTCTTTCTCTCTTCCACATTCAGGTACTTACAGATTCTTTAGCACTGTGACTATAATCTCTCTTTCTCCTCTTTTTTTAAAAAAAAGCATTTAACAAACCAGAATGGGCAAAGTGATGACATCAGAAAAACTGTAGCTGAATGGAGAGAGAGCAACAGGTTTCTCACCTCCTCTTGTGTGCTGATGTATTGTTTACAGCTCTTTATTCTTAATCCACTTTAAGCTGTTTACAGAGATCTCTTTACTCTCAAGTACAAAATCGACCACTTTGTCAGCCATGGCGTTCCGTCTCCTCTTCACGTATGACCTGAACTTGTGGACAAATGGCAGAAATTAGTTTGTTTCGGTGGTTGAAATGTAAATGAAATAGAGGTCGAAATTGAAATAGTTCTTTTTTTCACGAGAGCTGGTCTCTCTGGGGATCTAAAATTCTAAGAATGAACATTTTCCTTTGTCTACCCACATTGTCAAAAGGCTCATACAGCAAATGTCAGTGTTTACTCGGTGCACAGCTTCTCTTCTAAGACTAGTTTGCATGTGTTCTCTTTATATTTTATGTCACTTTGATGTTCACATTGAATAAGCTACTTTTAAAATGATCTTCAGTCTCTCTTAATTTCCTCTCTTCATTTTGCTTTGTCCTGCAGTTTATTGCACAAGTGTAATGACAAAATAAATTCAGAATCGTATAGGGCACTTCCCTTTTTTTTTTTTTTTTTGTATGATATAAATCTTTCTCTTATCCTGTTTGTTGCTAATTGTTATCATTTAATAATGAAAACTGCAAAGCTTTTATGTTTCACAATTGCGTATATGCCTCTGTATGTTTTTGTAAAACCAGTTAAAAGGCAAATTCAATAAATAACAGCTGACTGAATGCGTTGCGTCTCATTTCTCAGGTGTCAAACACCTCGCTTTGGTGATCTCTCAATTCCTCAAACGCTCGGTCAGGCCGAGTACCAAACATGTCAGTCATGTTTATTGATAGTCTGCCTTCCCTGATGCTGCAGTTTCATAATGGAGCCATCAGGGGGAGGGACCTCTGCGGAGACAAAAGCCTGATGGTGCGGCTCACGAGTGACAGAAAACAACAGAGACGCTAAAGGAGCACTTTTTCTGACTCAACTCCAGCAATGGGAAGACCAGAGCAGCTGTAGGAGACGCAGGAACTGATGCAAGTTGATCACCAGCTCTTCATCTGAACACAAGGTAAGACATGATTTCTGCTTGTAGAGCCACTTGTGTGAAACTCACCAGAAAGGAAGTTTGTGGTATTTCAGTTTTCAGTTTCTCACACTTGCATGTACATGTGTTCACTCCCCATGCTGTGCAGTTTTATCATCATTTAGTTTTGATGTTCGTACCCAATAATCATGCTTAGTGTTCTGATATTTACAAAGCTTATGCTGCTGCCAGACACATTGTTTCACAACAGATGCCCTGCCCTAGTTACCCAGAAATGCTCTTTTCTTTTCATTTGTAATCCTGTTATAATCACAAGAACTAAACAGCTGTTATATTACCCAGCTTGACACACTTGTGTGGCTTGTACTTTTAATTTATAAGCCAGTGATCAGCAGCTAGACCGTAATTTCTTTTCCCCCTGCTTAACAGAAAGGTGAAAGTGTGCGAAATTCATTGACGGAATGCTGTAACAGCAAGCTGGGACATGTGAACGTTTTCATCACTGCAGTCAGACAGCAGCAAGAACGTTTCTTTGTATCTGCAGGGTTGAACTTGTGGAGAAAAGGAATCCTACTCCAGGAGAGACAAATCGCCTGTGTTTAGAGGTGCATATCAAGGAGATAACTACATCAATGAGGACACCCGGCATGGCTGTATTCAAGCAACAGAATGTGGACGATTTCTATGAAATTGGAGAAGAACTGGGAAGGTGAGCACACTTCAAAGCTGTTTCATTAAGCGTGTCAAAAGAAAGCTATTCAATCCCCCATAGGTTTGTGTGAGTCAGGGAGTGATTCAGCTCTGCAGCGCAGGTCGCTTACAAACAGCTGGCCTGTTAAAGCTTGAACTAGGGAGTGTCACTGCGTTGAAGTAGGCTGAAGTTTACAGCAAGAGATAAAGTTTCAAAAGCAAACGCACTGTCAGAAAACGAGCCGCGGTTGGGAACGTTGTCTTCAGTCTGAAAAATGAAATTTGTTTTACTGCTTTTGCAAAAAGGTGATTCTGGGTGGTGGATCCGCGTGTTGTTAATCAACCCTGTACAGAGCAGACATCAAGGAAACGGTGTCTGTTGGGGAAATAGATTAAAGGAAGTTGGCAGAGTGAAATATGGATTGAGGAAGCTACGCATAAATGTTGCACGGAAGGACAGGGCATGTAAACCACTCGCTAACAGATTCAGAGGGTGAAGAAGGAAAGCGTTTGACCTCTAACCTTTCACTATTAATCCTGGTCGCCTAAACACTATGTCCCAGTGTTCGCTGGCCTTCGCTGTGAGGGTTCTCTGCCGCACCCTGACAGGAAAAACCCAGACCTGCTGTTGAAACAGCTGCTGCAGCTGCATTGATGCCCCAGAAGAGAAAGAATTCCCAGCAAAGTCATTAATTTTACATTAAGGTTCCTCATATTGTCTTGTGAAATATTTGAAATGTTTTTTCTGAAGAAAAATAGGAAATATCTTTAGGATGAGCTAGCATGGATCCAATTTTTTAATAAGGCACTGATTATTGGGGGTGTATACACTGAAAACAGGGAATTATTAGGAGGAAGCAAAACATATTTTCTAGAAGAAGATATGCCTACATGAACTGTGTTTGGGATACTAAGTCAAACGGACTGGCCGTAGAGCATCTTAAGCAACATACAGTTATCAACAACTAGTTAAAGGTGCAATATGCAAAACTGGAAATATAAATCGAGCAAAATATAGCAGCAAACAGCGACATGCTATGTAAAGATATAATGGAAAAAATCCTTAGTAGAGACTGAAGTCACGCTGTCTGTGTGTGTGTTGCACTTTTAGCTTTTATTTTTTCTAGAGCTGCAACTATTAATCAATTATTCGATTAGTTGCCATCTAGTGAATGAACTATTTTGACAATCAGTGAATCAGTTGTGTAGAAAAAATGTGTCTGATTCTTGAGTATGAACGTCTTCTGGTTTCTTTACCCCCCTGTGTTAGTAACCTGAACATCCTGGACATAAAAAGACATAAGTGGGCGCCAGACAGGGCTTTGAGAAACGCACATTTGTTCACAGTTTTCTAACATTTTATCGGCCGAGGAAATAATTTACAGATTAATCGTCATCATTGCAGCTAACGTTTTGGCAGCCAGTCTGACCATGCACTGTGCATGTGAGTCCCTCCTTTTGAAACCGTTGGCCTTTCTCACACTTACAAACAGATCCAGAGTGACCGTCCTCACCACATTAGAAAAGCGACTGCAGTCCAACGTACAACACAAGTTGCAACCTTTTACTGTAGAGGTTGTTAATATAGAAGATTAATAAAGCAGCAACATACACACGGGTCTAAAATTGGACAAAACAGGAAATATCTGGCTTTTTAGCTGCCAGATAAAGACAAAGCAAGTACATACTGTTCACAACTCTCTAAAGTTGTTTATATTGCAGTTCACGACCTGTCTGTGATGCAATAGTATTTAATTTATTTGAATAAATGAAGCCTTTAGTTACAGCTGATAAATCCTTTGTGTGGAGTTCTAAAAATGCTTTATACATGTTTTTGAGAATTTTATAAAAAGTTAAAAGATTATTATAAACTCAATAAATACATGGCCGACGTGGAAATGCATCATTTAAAGGCTGATAACGTCACTGAATTGTTTATGAACTAAAAACTTGCTGCTCGAACAGACGACTCGGCTGCGGGTTGCTATCAGAATGATCAGAATCTTGTGGTTAAAGGTAGAAGAAAACAAGAACTTTATCCGTCATAGAGCACCGCGACAACATCTCGAGCTGCGCAGCTGGATTTTTGCTTGCATTTGTTTTGTCTTGCTGTGACAGCTTTCTAGTGAGCTTCAGAGGTTGCATCTCACCCCGCCCACGGTTCAGAGAGCCTCATGGGCTCAGACCTCCACACCACACACCACACTGGAACTCTTACTCAACTGCCCTCTTGAGAGGGTGGGGAAATTTGATGAAGGGGCCAAAAACTTTTAAGATGCTCTGTGGAACTATTGAACCATTTGCTAGAGGAAAACTAATTCATCATTCTGCTCTCCCGTTGACAGATTTTTAATGTCACCGGGCCCCACGCAGTTGTACTCAGTAGTTCTTTCCACTAATGACGCAGAGTTTTGGGTAAACCTGTCTGTAATACAACCTTTTGCTTGAGACGTGAGGTATTTACTGCCAACTGTACTCGTCTTACCATCTGAGTTATGACACACTTGATGACATACAGTAGGAAGTGTCACAGTGTGAGCCTACAGCTGCTGCTGGCCTTCCTGTGAGCCCGTTAAGACTGTGGTGAGCTGTTACGCAAATGACTGTCAGGGCAAGTCTGAGAAAAAAGACTTCTGCACAGGTGATGGACTCATGATGAATGCGTCAACAACAAATTCATTCTTGTCCTTGTTTGGCTAAAACAGCTGACAACTTTTACGGCAGTACTGTCGAAACAACTGGATATACAGTGGTGACTTGATAATCCGACCCTTAACAATCCAAAAACCTTGCTATCCGACAGGTTTTTAGGAAAAACAAGCAGAACCCATTAAAAATAGCCTTAACATACCGACAGATTTGGATTCCAACTCCGACATGACATTTTATGTCACAAATAAGGATAACTGATTTAACAATCTGACAGACTGGCTACATTCAGACTGCAGGACTTAATGCACAATTCGGATTTTTCGTGAAATCCAATTTTTTGTGAGTTTGTTCACATTTCCAAATTAAATGCAACTTGTATGGGATCTGCTGTGTGAACTTCATACGACCCAAAAGTGTCCCGTATGTGCAGAAGAGGACACAACGACATCACACGCAGTGAGCGTGCTCAGTGTTTGTGGAAGTAAACATGGATGGTAATGGTGGAGCGTGTCTTGCCCGCCACTCCCCTGCTGCCGCCGATGGTGGAAACAGAACTGTGACCGCTAACTAAACTGGCATCAGCAGCCAAATACTGTCTGTGTGTTCCGGCCACTTCCACTCCGACGAGGTGGAACTGGCCGGAACATGCCCAATCGCAGCAGTCAATGGTGTGAAATCCAGCGATGCGTAGTGTTCTAGCAATACACAAGTTATTATAACAAGTATAAACAATAAATATTAACAACAAATGAGCCTTCAAGCATCAAGCCCTCCTTGTATCTCGACCTCCGTCTTGACAATCCGACAGCCTTGCTATCCGACATAAAAGAAGGTTTTATATTTATTGTCGGATTATCAAGTCACGACTGTAATTATATTTTTGGAAATCTGTGAAAATTTAGTCCAAATTTCGAGATCAATACATCACAAACTTCTATCATATAGATGACAACTCCACTATAATGAGTCATAACAGGCTTCACATTGGGTTGTACATACAGTTATCAGTGTGGTGTGTTTTTAGACTGGTGGCAATGCTAGTATATTGAATTGCAGTTTCACCACTTTGGTCCAGACTGAAATACTGTAACAACTTACCGAAATTTTGGCCAATCATGATCCCCAGGGGATGACCCTTTTACTTTTCTTGTTGCATTACTTTGACGTTGACATTTGGTGCACACATTTGTGATCACCTCTGGATGAACTGTAAGCAGTTGCTGATCCTTTAACTTTCAATCTAACCCCATCATCTGCTTAGAATTTAGATTTCTAGTCAACAAATGCCTGCAAAGCCGATCATGTTTTCATGAGCTGCGGCTGCACTTTGTTTTGACATATAGCGAACATTAAACATAAGCATGATAGCTTTCAATGGTAAACATAATATCTGTTAAACAGCAACATGTTAGGTTTGTAATTCTGAACATGTTTGCATGCAGTTACAATTTAAAACCACAACTGTCCCTAAATGAAACTCCTTTGCAGCAGCTAACGACTAGAACACCTCACAAAACGCCCTCAAACTTGCACCTTGACTCCACTCACCACCTTCAAGCTTAAACTCCAACACACATACTTATATATACGCACACCCTTTCTTACGCCTCATGCACTTCTTTTCTCACTTACATGCTCCCTTGCTTCTAACTTGTTTACTTTTCTTCTATGTTATGTTTATGTGTCTATTTTTGTCAGTAATTTACATGTGTTTTTGTTCCTGCTGGCGCCTCTTGGCCAGATCGTGTTTGCAAATGAGAACTGGTTCTCTAACGTTTTACCTGGTAAGAGAAAGGTCAAATAAATAAATACAGTCTTACAGAGCCGTTAGTGTGACGTTAGTGTTAGTGGTGGAGGAGGTATTTGAATTCTATGCAAAGGCAGAAAAAAAATCTTTGTTTTACAAATGTTACTGAAGTAAAAGAATGTAAATCTAATTAATAAAAAGTCTGCTTTAATCTGCTCAGCTCATAAAAAATGTCCTCTGTGACTGTAATACCAACATACATTATATAAATTCAATACAGTTCAGTTCACTGTGCTTTATTTGAATGAATATGTTAAATATCATATATGTGGCTCATTGAATTATTTTTTACTCTTAAATTGATATAAAAGCAGGATTTTAATGTTTACTATATTGACTGACTTTTAACTTAATTTGAATCATTTTATATTAGATTGTGACCAGTGGTTGTTTTCATTACAAATTAATCTGCTGATTATTTTCTCCAATAATCTGTAGTTTTTTCTGAAATTCTGAAAATAAACCGATTTTCTATCAGTTTACTAGTTTAGTAATCAACTCATCATTTCTGCTAAAAGTTGTTGGATAGTTGTTTTTTTTTAAATGCATGTTTTTGGCCTTTTAGCCTTTATTATAGATGATAGTGGAAAGAGAGCGACAGGAAGTGTGGGGAAAGGAGTGGGGGAAGGACATGCAGCTAATGTGCCGTGGGTCAGACTCAGACCACGCCTCGGGGACTTTCAGCCCTGTACGTGGGTCGCCCACTCAACCTTTTGAACTACTGGGGCGCCCATGGATAGTTTATTTTTTATAAGCTCTTTGTTTTGTGTGAAAAAAAAATCTTAATTTGTAAAGTGTTTAGTTACTAAAACTGTCAAATAAATGTAAAAAAAAAGAATATTTCCCTTTGAGGTGTAGAGAAGTGTAAGGAAAAGACTCAAGTACAAGTGCTTCTAACTTGCGCAGTGCAGTACTTGAGTAAATGTACTTAGTTACATCCTACCACTCATGTTCATATTATTAAATTACTCAAATGTCTCGTTTAAAGAGAATGCAGGGACGCTGATAAGGTCATATCTAACGAAGTATTTCCCTAACTGGTATTCAGGAACTATGAGTTTTAGAAGTGCGAGGCAAGTTAAAGCAGAAGGAAATTAATTAGAGAAATCTTTTCAGTTTGCAGAAGTTTATTGTCTTTGGAGATGGATGCGTGGAGGACAACATTTTAGGCTGCAGTATTCACACGCCAGACGTGTTGAAGTGAAAAGAGATCACAGTCGCGAGACAGACAGGTGTTGCTGAGGAACACAGTAGTAAAGTCCTCGAATTTCTCCAAAGGGATTTACTGTACACAGTGTATCTATAGCTCAGGCTGTAGGCATGCATGTATAAGGAGCAGGACAAGAATGTATGTAGTCAGCTCTGAGGAGGAGGAGACATCCCTGCTGTTGAACGAGTAAAAAATGTGTTTATTCAGTGCAGCCTGACGGAGGGAACTCCATGCTGACCTTTTGGACATTCCCCGAGTTCCCATCAGACAGAGGTCATCCCTCTAGTCTCAGCAAACAGCCCTGCTGCTCCACAGATGCTTTGTTGACAGGGCGGCACTTTGAAACCAATAGGAATCTGGACAATCCAGAACACTGTGAGGGCATAAACGATGAGGGAAGTAAATGGCAGATAAAGTGGCTTACAAAAAGTGAATCTGTGTTTCTAAGCACAACAGATGCGAAAGAAGTGAGTTTTCCTGCAGCGATGAGTCACACTTTAGAAGTTGGAGCCGCCTCCTTGGTCCTCCTTCACACTCGATTTGCAGATTGCAGGGCTGGTTAGGGAGAGGGCTCGGTCAATTATGAATCTGGCCGTCGTTGTCATGCTGCCCCAGAGGTTGCTCAGCTGAGAAATGTGTTTAAATATTGGGTCGGCGCCACTTGTCCGAGCATTCCTCCAACCTTGGCTGAGGATAATGACCTTCAGCTGTTGGAAGTGGAAACTCTGCAGAGAGATGGTACTTTCAGCCCCACTGGTCGGCTTAGAGCTAAGACAAACGGCACGCCTGGCCCGTCGCGGAATACCACTCCTAGCATCACTGCTCTTTCCGCTGTTACTCTACACTTCGTAACAACGCTCGAGTAAAGCCCCAACGCTGACATTTGTGTTGGGCGCTTTCTCGCATTTGAGCTGCACCACCATCATAACGCAGGGGTCGGCCTGGTCAGCGCCGCTCCACAGACGAATCAAGGGCACCGTTGCTGCTCCTGCCATGTGACCGTTTCCTCCCCTTGGGGTACTTGATGCCTGTTTTTGCAAAGAGGAATTCACTGAGCGACTTACCCTCCTCTTCAGTTCACACATTATCATAGTCGTCTCTAACGGGGTCAGTCTTTCAGGGGGCGACTCAGGGGCGGAGATGTCCTGTGAATAGAAAAGACTGAGGGAGCATTTGAGATTCCACGCTGCTCCACCCCTCTCTGTTTTGATTTCTCCTTTGCAGCATGTGCCTCGTTGTGGGTCATTTGTGCAATGTATACCTCCTCACTCGCTCTGCTTCTTTTATGCATTCTCTATTGGGAGATAGACACAAATTACAGCCTTAATAATAACCACTAGGGGCTTTGTGGTACGTACACAAACTCAACAAAAGACCAAGCATTTCTTTTTATTAGACACACCAATGAAACAACCTGTGTAACCTAATGCAATCCAATACACGTGACCTGCAATGAATACCACCTTAGTTGTGTAGCGGTGCTGCTGTACTCGATTGCATCATATTTGAAATGTGTGAATTTCATCTGCCTCCAGCGTGGTAGTCATCGAACATCTGTGCTTGTGTGGTGAAAGTGAACCTGTTCTGTTGTTTTTTTGAGCGAGTCATGTTTAACTGGAGGCTTCGTACGTTCAGTGGATGTGCTTCCAGATGTGATTTATAGAACTGAGTAAGCGCAGGACAGGGTGTGCCTTCCGAAAGAACTGGCTCGACCATCCCACGCTAATGCGGATAAGGAAAAGTTAAAGAGTCAGTAGTTGTGTTAAGCCACAAAGACGGCTGCTTTGTCTTTAATCATACTTAATCCGTTAGTTTGCTTTGTGATGCGCCGGTGCTGCCCCTACGTAAAAGTGAGTGTAAGTAAAGTACAAGTGTATACAAAAAAATGCTGTGTGAAGCAAGCCCAGCAGCGGCACGGTGGGGATCCATATGTTAGTTGTCCAGCAGCTCCTCCCAGCACGCCTCCTCTCTTTCCACTCCTGCAGCTCAGCGGGCTCTTTTTCTTGTCCCCAGCAGGAGCAGAGAGGAGGCAGGTGGAGAAAGAGCCTGAGAGCGATGCTATTCTTAGCCCACTAGACAGAATCTGAACAGCCTCTCACAGTCACTCTGGAATCTCTGTGTGGACAGATGTGTCCAAAATGTATGAAATGCCTGACAATTATTGTCCATTTCCCCTCCTTGTGGGGCCCTATTCACCGTCTGTGCCGCCTTAATATACATTTTTTAGCTCCATATGCCTAAGTATAACCATTCTGTTCCGCTCTTTGCCACCACGCTCACCCTCATGTCTTTCTGTGGCCTGATTCTGAAGAATGAGTGACCAAGAGGTTTGTTTTCGAAGTTTGAATGTATGGAGTGGGCAGGTTGGCCCACAGCAGCAAGAAGCAAACTACAGCTGTAGGAGTGGGGAGCAGGGTTAGCCAAGTCTGAGATTACAAGTGCTGGTGTGATAATAAGGCAATGGAGACTCCCCGCATACCACTGGGTGACAGAGCTGGAAAATGTTTTTGCATTTCTCAATCAATCTGTCAGTAGGACAGTTATTAGAGACATGAGTTATGTTAGGGAGAGGTGACAACAAAGGACAATGCTGCGCTGAGGTGGAATATGTCGTAAGTCTATCAACTGTAAAAAGCAAAACAAGAACACAATGAGACAGTGGGAGATCATCGCTAAGCCACACCTCTGTTGTGAAATATTCAGAGTTTTTGGGATTTTTTTTCAGTGGACTGAGCAGTTGAAGATGGCGAGATTTGGCAGGATGTTAGTTGTAGTGGGAGGACAGAAGCTCTCTCCACACTACCGGCCTGTCTGATTGTTTTCTGTCTGGCCGGGTAACAGGAAGCAGTAAACCATTCTACAATATTTCATCCATTTTTGTCACGCAGCTTCCTCCCTGATGTCAGGCTGCCTAGTCACATCCTGTTGTTAAGTGAGGAAGAATTTCATTAGACATCGCTCTGTCTCTTAAAAAAATTCCACCTGCCACAAGAAAACTTAAATAAATAAATGAGATCATGAAAGATTTGGATCATTTGTTGCATTAAGTGATGTCAGTCTTTTTGTTTCTGTGTCTGCAGTGGGCAGTTTGCAATTGTCAAGCGCTGCATAGAGAAGAGCACGAGAACCGAATATGCAGCCAAGTTCATCAAGAAGCGGCAGAGTCGGGCCAGCAGACGGGGGGTGAGGAGAGAGGAGATTGAAAGGGAAGTGGACATCCTGCAGCAGCTTCAACACCCCAACATCGTAGCGCTGCACGACGTGTACGAGAACCGCACGGATGTGGTGCTCATCCTCGAATTGTGAGTCACTGCAGGATTCCGCAATACCTTGGAAAACCCTCAGGACAAGGAGAGTTTCATCATGCTTTCCAAGTTACAGCAGCGTCTGAAAACATCCAAACATCTATGCTTCATGTGTTTTTTTTTGTAATTCATATAAAGTAAAATTATTTTGAATGTTTAAGATAAATGCTGGTAAAATAGCAAAACACTAGCTCGTGTTCATGCTCTGATCTGTGAGTTTTTTTTTTTTTCTGTGTACATGAATTGTTTGTTGAAGCTGTGTTTGCTGAAAAGCTCACGTGTTCCAGAAAGAGCCAAAGTCTCTTACAAAATCAATAATGCTTGGGCTGAAAAGAGACCTCAGCGGGCCTCCATCTGGGTCCAGTGAGTGCCTGGGAACAAGTAGGGCCTAATTAGGACTAATTGAAGCCTCAGTGTAATCAAATTAATGCTGACTTGACTGACAGACGTTGGCACACTGTCCTTCATTCAGTCTAACATGTTCAATGAATGTAAAAGAACATCGTGTTTATGGGCTACCAGAGGGTCAAAAAGCTTTGTGTGACTTTTTGTTAAGTTTATAGAAAGAATTCTTATGTAGGACTCCCATCAGGCCCGAGTTGTTACCACAAACAAACATATCTAAGGCATCCAGGACTTCTGCATCCAATTCCTGAGAACACACTTTAGATAAAGCTGTGGAGTGGCCTTCCTCCAGATTATCAGAGCCCACGGTGACAGAGTGTGTCTGTGTGTGTGTTTCAGGGTCTCCGGAGGGGAGCTGTTTGATTTCCTGGCTCAGAAGGAGTCTCTCAGCGAGGAGGAGGCCACTCAGTTTATCAAACAGATCCTAGATGGAGTCCAGTACCTTCACTCCAAGAGGATTGCACATTTTGATCTCAAGGTACAATACGCTCCATCTGTGCAACTATATTTGTAATGTGTTGAATGTGAAACCCTTTACCTCACCAACAACTGTACTAATGGGTACATGTAAGGTCAGAGAGGACTTCACGTGAAATATATATAGCAGGTGTCCAATGTACGTGTTGGTAGAGTCTCGCTATTTTGATTCACACATCCTTCCTGTTTTTCGTGGCCGACATCCAGACTCAGATACCGACACCACAAGGTTATCTTTTCACTTTCAGAGAGCATTGTTGCTCACGTTCCCCGACTCTCGCTGTCGTGTTTTTCTGCTGCTGTGGCTCCTCTTTGCTCCTGATGCTTCTTGTTTGGCATTTAAGGAAAAGGAACACTGAAGGGCTCGATTCAGACCTGCCTAAAGCCTCGACCTTCCGTTCACAATGACAGTCAGTGCGCTAATTAGCTTTTAATAGGTTTATGCGGAAATGTTGAAACTTTCCATGCAGTCGGGGCAGATGTTCAAGAGATGGTGACCTTTACATTGACACTGAATTCAGACCAATACTGCAAAGTCTGAACCTGTGTCTCTTAACAACTTCAATTGAAAATTAGGACATTTCTGGATTTTTAAATTTGAGTTTGATGAGAAGATGAATACCACTCTGCTGTCTGCACACTAACAGCCAGGCTAGCTATATAGACTTAGACTGACTTTATTAATCCCAGACGGAAATTCAGTTGTTACAGCAGCAACATTCAACAAAAGGGTAAACAAAGCAAAAAGACAACACAGAATATAAGGGCAGGGTACAAAATGAAGGTTAAATAAAGTAAAATAAAAATATAGAAAATGTAATATAGAAAAAGTCAACAACTTTACAAGAATATATAAGAGAGATTCAGAACTGTGCAAATGAACAGAACATGTAAATCTGCTTAGATTGAAGCATTAAAAAGTTTGCTCCTATATAGCCTCTGTGAGCTATGTTAGTGGCAGCTGTTGCACCAACTTGGAGTCAAGTTGGTCAGGTCATAGTTGTTTTTGTGCTTCAGATCGTTATCATGCAGATGTATTCCTTTTCTAACAAGTTTCTGCAGACCGGGTGCTACCTTCTCAGCCAGTATTTTGGTATATCCGTAGCTGTTCATGGTGCTGTCTATATATCATCTCTTTAAGACATTTTGCATTCATGCGGCCCCACATCATCACACTCCCACCTCCGTGCTTCACTGTAGTGGCCATGTATTCACTGTGGTAGTCCTGGCTTTACCATGCTGAGCCAAATCTAAACCAACCAAACAAATCTTGTTTGGTTGGTTGGTTTAGAAGTTTAAGCTTGCAATTTGTGCCAAAGTGAAAGAAAGGTTTTTGTTTTTTTTTGGTTTTATTTCTGATGCCGTCTATGGAGGTGAAAGTTATGCAATATCCTTCTTATTGTCTGAGCCTACACAGAAACTCTGTGTCCAGTCACAAGCACTTCCCCATGTGTTTGTTCAGAGCTAGTTTGTGAAAGTAGTGCAGCATCTGTGGTGTCAATGTAGGACAGCCACTGCGGCTCTGATCAGTGGTTCTGTGGCTTGTTCTATACCTCCTGACGGCCGTGTTTTTAGCTCGTCGCCAATCGTTCTGCACCTATTTCCATCTTTTTGAAGTCACACAATCAGATTTATTTTTTTCAATTCCTCTGGAAATACTGTACATATGGAGACATGATGCAGACATCAACATAACACACTTTATAGGTGCAAAACTAAGAAGGTTCTGGTGTTCACAGGTTGTGAACATATTGGTCATGCGAGGTAATACGTGACTTATCATCTGAGAACACTGCAGTTACTGAGAAGTGATTCAATTTTGAATCATTTGACATGAAAGTGAAATTGCGCAGTGGTGTGTTCACTTACGTTGTGTGTTGTAATTCTTGTTTAATTCCAGTAAACTCCTGTTGCATCTGCCGATTGTGTGGAAACCTGTCCAGACCAACAAATGTTTTTTACATTGTAGCTTTTGTGGGAAAATATAAACAGATAAATAGTAGGCAGCATTTTGCAGCTTATGGCCAGGTTAGCTGTTTCCTTCTATATCCAGCCTCTGTGCTAAGCTACATTAGCAGGTAGCTTCTATGAGAATATTTAGGTCTATAGACGAGAAAGTGAATAGGTAAGATGTCTAATGTTTCCTAATGCTGTACACTAACAAGGATGTCTGTAACTGTTTATCTTTAATGCTTACACAAAAGGCGGCTTTATCCAGGTAACTTGTTTTACAATTAGTGTTGTTTATATGTCATTACATGTTACGCCATCTCTGCATTAGCGGTAATCTGCTGCTAACTGTTCTGTTCCTTCTTGCACCTCCACAGCCTGAAAACATAATGCTGCTGGACAGGAACGTTCCTCTACCCCGCATCAAACTCATAGACTTTGGCTTGGCACACAAAATAGAAGCCGGGGCAGATTTCAAAAACATTTTTGGCACTCCTGAATTTGTTGGTGAGTTTTTTTTTCTTGTACATGAGATATGTTGGCACTGTGGCACATTTTAAGAGGTGGCTTGGTGTTTGGCCCGACGCTGTTTGTGATGTCGAGTGTGCGCCGTCTATTTTCAGCTCCAGAGATAGTCAACTATGAGCCGCTGGGATTGGAGGCAGACATGTGGTAAGAGCCTTTAATTACCTCTGACTCTGCTGACTTCCATACAACAGCCCGCGGTGCATAACTTTGGATTAACCTTCTGCTATTTTTCACAGGAGCATTGGAGTCATCACTTATATACTGTAAGTTGGGGTGATTTGTGATTACGAACGGGACTCTTGATGTATCTAAGGAGCTTATCGAGGGAGGTCTTGAATGTTTGCTCTGTCCTTTCAGTTTGAGCGGTGCGTCTCCTTTCCTTGGCGACACGAAGCAGGAAACGCTGGGGAACATATCGGCGATGGACTACGAGTTCGATGAGGAGCTCTTCAGCAATACCAGCGAGCTGGCCAAGAGCTTCATCAGACAGCTCCTGGAAAAGGACACGAGGTAAAAGAATGGGTCGCGAACAAACAGCTGAAGGCCAAAGGTCAAGTCTGACAATTCAATACAAAGCCCAGTGTTCAGGGGTTTCGATGTATTAAACCCTTATGTGATCCAACAGAGAACGAAAGGCCAGCCAGTAAACGGAAATCTGGAGCAGGGATTTAGGATTTAGATTATTTTTGGTGCAAAATGTGATACACTAAATAATATAATCTAAATAAACATTATTTTTTACTATAAACTGATTTATTACAGGGAAAGTGTTGCGCAATGCTTTGTTGCATGTGTTCTTGTTTCCTGACATGTGTTTCCATTTAAATGCACCTCGAAGAAACTTAATATTCCTGCGAAAGTCAGGTCTGATTGTATTCCTTAGAGATCCACATTCTAACCTATGAGCGACCAACATGCTCTTTGTCTGATGTAGCTGTTCGCGTGTATTTACTCAGCTGCTGTTCTTCATTTTCTCCTCGCTTTAGAAAACGGATGACCATACAAGACACCCTGAATCATCCTTGGATTAAGGTATGCATCTGATTAATGCTGTAGTGTAGCATGTTTTGTAATCCATTTAACTGTTGTCAGTGCTTCACCTCCCTACTCCTAGTAAAAAAAAACAGTTAATGTCAAAGGTAACATCTGGGCGACGGGGTCATTTCTAATCGGAGACACAAATCCATCTTGAAGCGTGTCAAGAAATCTGACAGCCTCAAAATCCCAGAGTTCACACCCACTCACTGTTTATGTTCTGGCTTGTTGGAAACACTCTGTATCATAGTTACTGTATGTTGTCTTCATCTCAGGACAACCACCCTCCCACTCCCTTAGCTGAACTCATCTCATACAACCTCATGCTCTCTGAAATAGTCCGTTTGTCTAGAACTCCAACTCATCAAACTCAAGCAAGATCTCACTAATTGTACTTTTAATGGCATGGAAATTTAACAATTTACAATGTTGAAGAAGTCTACTCTCCACGTTGGCTGCTGCAATGCATGTGAATGGTGTTGTGCTGTGGAGTCTTCATCCTGTTTGGACGCAAGCATGAGGCCAGGAAGCCTTACACACTCATCAGGAATGTTTGCTGTTTTTTTGACGCCCTCACCAGCCATGGCTTTTGCCTGTAGGGTCACACACTAACCCTACAGTGTCGCGTCTGCTGGGATTTTCACCGCTATATGTGTTTTCAAGATGCAACTATGAGACAGCCTCTCACTCAGTGTCCCCCCCTCCTCCACCCTTCTGTCTGAAGTCCTGTGGCCACATAGAGGAGAACAGCGCTGCCCATGAGGCTGAGAAGAAAGCGGAGCAGTTGAAGACTAAACGTCTTAAGGAGTACACGATCCAGTCGCACTCCAGCATGCCCCAGAACAACACGTACGCCAACTTTGAGCGTTTCGCCCATGTGGTGGAAGACATCAGCTTGATGGAGACGGGCCTGTCAGAGGTTGCGGGAGCACACCACACCCTGCAGGGTGACATAGAAGCACTGCTCTCCATCTACAACGACAAGGAGGCCTGGTACAAGGAGGAGAGCGAGACCGCCAGGAAGCAGCTCTCCCAAGCCTGCTACGAGTTTCGTAAAGTGGAGGCCACCAGGAGGCTGCTGCAGGAGGACATGAAGGCTATAGACTCCAATCTGGAGAGCATCAGCGGGAAGTACAACCACAGGCAGAGCCAGCTGGACTCTCTGAGGCAGGAGCTGAACTCTGAGCTGCAGTGGCTGCAGGAGGTGATGAGCTCTCTGCATCCTGAAGGAGCCAACGGCAGCATCCACAGCAGTGGTCTGAGTACAGATGTGAAGCAAGCGCTGAAGGAGCTGCTGCATCAGTCCTGCGGAGGAGAGCTGTGCCCCGAGGCCGAGCAGCCGCTCACAGAGTCCGACTAACATGCACCAATGAAGACACACTTTAACTGACCTTCAAAATCTTAATGTGTTTTGGAAAATTAGACTGTAGTTTGAATTCAACACATTGATTTTTTGCAACGGCACATATTTTTGAATGTATAGACTTTACTTTATTTAGATTTTTTTCTTGCGTAAACAAGAAAAAAACTTTCTTGTGTTCTGTAAACAACACTTTTCAGGTAGAGGAGTAGCAGGTGTACACATAGGCATTTTGGGAAATATGCTTAATGCTTTCTTGTATCGATAAAGGAAAAGACCGTTATTTCCTTTGGTTCAACGACAGGAAGGAACCAGTGAGCTTAGCTCAGCACAAAGACTGGAAACAGGGGTAAAGGGTGGCCTGCTCTGTCTGAAAGTAAAGAAAAAAATCTGCCCACCAGAACCAAAGAAATGTACACATGTCTACGTCTTGTGTGTCTAAGCCGTAAAGAAATTGCAGCACTTTTGTTTTTTTGTTCTGTTTAAAGAAATGATATGGAACACAAAGCTTTTGTTGTTTTTGGAGTCATTCTGGCTTCTGATCTTATGCTAAGCTAATTTCAGCTTCCATTTGAATGAACAGATATTCAAGTGTTATTGATCTGAACTCTCTGTCAGAGAGCAGACAGTCATATTTCCCAAGCTATCAAACTGTTCCTGTAAGTGGAATAACTATGGCACAATATTAGGACTTACTCTTAACATGAAGTGACTGATGATAGAACTATAGGTTTATTTATGTGTTGCTCTTGTTTGGTTAAGTTGTGTAGCGTTTTAGTTGAACAAGTTATGCGAATGAAAATGAAGGATTTTACTGTGTCATATCTCAGAATAAGACACAGAATCAAGCATCAGTTCTTTTTCGATGGAATGTATCAAAAATTCATATTTTTGGATTATTTTTATTTTTCATTCCATTCTGTTTGTCAGACTGTGTATTGATTATTTTTTTAACCAATGGTGATCCATTTGTAAAATAAGTTGTGTAATCATATAGGTTTTTAAAAAGAAGGATTTTTTATGGATTCAAATGTGCACTTTTTCTGAAGGCTTATTTATTTATTTTAAAGAATCTTCTTGTTTTTTCTCTCTCTTTCTTTCTTAGAAATGTTCACAAACAACACTTGTGATAAGATCTCATGTCTTTCTTACTTCCTTATCAGTGTTTTTTTTAAGCATTTCAACACACTTGTTGCTCCTTCTTTCATGTGCACACTGATATTTTTCACCGTGAATAAATGTCAGTCATTTATTATGTATCCAGTTTCCAAATTCCTGTGATTTGTGATCATTTACTGGCGTCTTTTATGCTTGGGTTCAATTTGACCCCAGAAATTTAAACCTCTAGAAAATATCATTATTAAAATAGTTACCCAAGTTTATGTGTAGATAGACCTTTAAATAAAACTGAAAAAATTATGTCAATGACTTATTTAGAGATGTTAAACATTGAATGGGGTCAACTTGTCCCCAAAGATAATAGAATGGGTGAAGTAAGTTTTGTGTTTTATCGCTGCCAAGATCAGACCCGTTGGTCCACATAATGTGTTTGAAACTAGTGAAATGCTTCACTTTGATACGAAAGACTCTGGCATTTCATCCCTCATTGTTTCTCCGCAGCCCTTGAATCCCAGACAGGCCATGGTGAAGAGGTTATCAGTGGTCAACTTGGAGAACTTTAGGAGACAGTACGCCAGACGCAGGTGGAAGGTAAAGAACAGTATCTGGTTCACACTCATGGCTCTAAGATGTTGCTCTTGACTGATTTCATGACTCATTCACTTTGCTTTTATCTGCTCAACAGCTGTCATTCAGAATCGTGGCGCTGTGCAACCACTTAACACGGATAATGAAGAAGAGTCAGAAGCTGCCTGAGCAGGACGGGGTAGGAATACACTGGAAGTGATTCAGTTGAAATTTACATGCTGGCTTTCTTGGCGAAGGTTAAACAAAACATTTGTGTATGACGACAGCCCTGTTTCTAACACTGGAAACAGGGTAAACCAGACTTCCTGACTCTGTTCCAAGGTAACCAGATCTGTCTACCAGCACCTCTAAAGCGCCATAATTACTGCCTAATCCATAATCCATCTAGCTATAATTATACAACTATATAATGAATCTATACAAACACTGCAGTGTTAAAACATTCGTGCTTTGTATGGGGGTTATGTGCTGGATTTTTTAATCAACTGGATGTAACGACTTCTTAAAGTCTCAACTGGTTGCTAGAAGTCTTGCATTGACAGCAAGACTCCAGAAAGTCACTGCTTCATTGAAATCATCTGGCAGGTTGGAGGTGCAGGTGGATTTTGCTTCCTTAAGAGAAGAACCAGGCTAACTGTTTCCCAGCCTTTATGCTAAGCTACTTTATGACTACTGACTGTAGCCATGTATTTATTGTACAGAGCCTTGAAGGTCGTCTCTTTCTTGGCAAGAAAAGTAAATAAATATCCAGTATTTATAGAGTTTCTTTAGGAGTACCGGTGATTGTTACAGTGGATATTGTGTTCTGCCACATTTGTTTGCAACAATAGCACAACAGCTCCTATCTGAGCTGTGTAACACTGGTCTCAGCACATCGACATATTACTGGTGCAGCTTGTAATTCTAGACGCTGCTGTAAAATGGAAAAAAAAAAAATCCTAATCCGTACATTCTGAGCGCCTCCTCCAGCTGTGGGCCTCTAAGGCTACCACCATCTCTACCAGTGGTACAGCTGTTCCTTAATTCCAGCATGTGTTTGGTTTTTTCAGAGGGACTGTGAAAGCGACCAAGAAGAAGAAATCATGAAGAGGAGGCCGAGGACCAGGAAGAGAAGCAGCACTTCCTGAGAGCAGCGCGTCTGTTGACCGTGTTGCAAGTTGCGAAACGGTGACTCGGCATCTTTTTAAAGCACACTTTTGCAGCTGTTGCTTGTCGCAAAGATCAACTACAGTGTCTATTTGAGTGACTGCTGTTAAGGCAGCATCTTTACAGGTCAAGGCAAATTTGTTTGTCTGCTTCATCCACAAAGCCAACTCATCATCTGTTGTATGTTAAATAGCCTTATGCCATTTCTAAAGTGAAGCTACTGTTTTGTGGCATAGGAAGATATAAGTAGATCGTCGTCGACAGGAACCCGTGTGTATGTTAGCACATACGTAGACGGCTTCCTGTAATAACTGCAGTCTTAAAAGTCCTTCAGCTGTTGTTTGACATGTGGGTATTGACACAGAGTTAATCCCTTCTCAGACACGGGACATTGCTGGCTTCATCAATCTCTTAAAGTCACAGTATTCTGTCATTCAGGCGTACCGCGGGTCGCTTTTACGTTTCTGTTCCTCACAGCTTCATCCAAACATATCCATGACAGTATTTGCCGTAAACGCAAGACTGGGCAGTACATCAAGTCACATATAATACATGAGGTCAAGAGTTTCTTACAACAACATGAGTGTGTTCCAGTAAAAATGTTGGTTTTTTTCTTCATGTTATGGCTGTTTGGGGGATTCTCCAGAACAACCTTGTTTTTTTTTCTGCGGTTGTCATATCATCCACTAAACATAGCAGCTTCCTATGTCAGTATTGTAATGTTGTCACATATTCACATATTGTTCCCCTTTTTAAGCAAATTAATCAAAGTCTCACATGTCCCCACAGTGAGATTTTTAAGGTTTTTAGCCCAAAATACTACAAGCAGTTAATTTCACCATGACTGTATACATACTCCTGGTGTTGGGGCTGCTCTGAACAGACAGTTCTGCTCAGAAAACCAATGAGCTGCTGCTGTTCCTGCCCCCTTAAGGAAGAAAACTCTGTCTGAGCTAAAAGACTGTTGGTTAACAGATATTGCACAGCACCTGGGTCAACTTCTAAATGGTTTGTAAAGCTGGAAGGCTAACTAGTTGTGGGTAAACATCTGTATGTATTCACAACTTTTATTTACTTTCTTCCAGGTTTATACATACAGTCGTCCTCAAATGTATTCATACCCTCCCATTAAAGAAGGAAACAAACAGCTGTCACTGAAATAAGTTGAAATTGACAAAAGTAATAATAAATAAAAAAAATTGTGAAATTTTATGACGTTGCTTTTGAATTGTGGTTCAACAGAAATATTAGAAAACAAGCAACAAGCATGATGGGACCCGTAAACTAATATTTTGTTGAACAACCCTTTGAGCCATTCGCTGTAATCAAGTGTTTTCTGTGACTCTCAATCAGACTTCTGCACCTGTTGACATTTATTTTGGTCCACTGCTCATCAACAAAGTGCTCTGGTCTAGTTTTTTAAATTATTCTTTTCAACCACAATTCAAAAGCAATGTCTTATTTCACTAAATTATAATTTAGCAATTTTTTATTTATTATTACTTTTTTCAGTTTCTAGTTATTTGAGTGACTATTGTGAATTTTGCCTTTTCTTTAATGGAAGGGTATGAATACATCTGAGGATGACTGACTATACGTGTTGAATATATGGGACTTTTAATGCGACTACATGTGGTTTCGACCTGTGAATGATGTGACGTAAATGGCACTCGGTCAGACCTACTAACATTTATGTCTCAACTTTTACAGAAAAGTGAGCAGGGTGTTCCTTTAGGCGTGAAACCAACACGTTCAGATGTCAGAGTAACGGAAAGAAGTGCAGGTCTGAAAGGGGCTTTAGAGTCAGTCTTTTTTTTTTTTTTTTTTTTTGTGCAGGCTGCATATATGGCTTGATTTATGGGGGTATAAAATAAGATTACCACTGCAGCATGACGAGACGGTAGCATGTCTTCATAACCAAATGTTTACATGTTGTTTTGCTTAATACGCGGCGATGTCTGCGCAAACGCACTGTTTACTGTAAACCTCTTCATTTGCCACCTCAAGATTAATTACCTGAAGCCTGTGCACTATTCAGAGGCATCTGTTTACTGTATGTAACATAGGATGTGTTTAATTGCTGTAAATGACTCTTATATTAGCTGCATTTCATCTTATGTGTACATATATAAGTACTTAATATACATATGTGAAGCTAATTTTGCAATGTAATTTTCGATGCAGTTGTTAGTGGCTCTTTGATGTATTTATGGTGTAAATAGACATAAAGTCTGTCAAACGTCTTAAGTTCTCTTTTGCTCGTATCTTTGCTCAGTAAATGGAGCATTCGCTGTTTTCAACACACAAACCTTTTCTCTGTATACTTGTATGAATTGTAAATTGAGGATGTGTTTAATAAATTAATGAACATGAGTGCTTTCTTCTACAAAGTGATAAATCAATGATTCCACCAAAGTGTAAAAACCAGAACAGACCTCTTCTGTACGTCGTCATTATCGTTTGGCTCTCAGGGTTGTCTTATAAAATCTGATTCCACGGTCAAGGTGTAATCACATCCACATGAGACGACCATAAATACGCTGCGTACATTTCACAGTGTCATGTCCTGAGTCCGTGACCCGGTTGAACCAAAGTAAGACTGGAAGAGTTACACAAATCCCCGTGGATGTTGACAGTCAATAACTCTCCGAACATCAACGAGCGCTAATTGTGATAATTCACTCTCTGTGTTAGCTTCTGTCTTTTTTCTTCTGGCTGCCGTTCAGTTATTTATGCTCACAACAGCAATGCTGTTTGGGCTCAGTTGGGCTGAAAGAGATTGGAGGGATAATTTGACCTGAACTAAATAGATTTTGGCAGCGGCACAATGTAGGCCAGTTCCACACAGATGGTGCGAAAGGAGTCATAATCAACAAGTGGGTCAGTCTGAAATCTGTAAGCCTGTTTGTGCTTCAGCATCCACTTAGAGAATTACTTAATGTTCAGCATACAATAACAGAATTACATTGAAATACTGGCAGCCGCCGCGGTACTCAGTGTATTTTTAAAGTGCTGCTGTTATAGTCGATTTAAACACTTAATTGCAAAATGTGTTACTTCATTCTACCGCAGAATGTGGAGTAGAATGAAGTAACACAGTTTTGAACAGCTAATTACAAAATAACTTATCATAGTAGTCTATAGAAGAGGTTTAATGCTAAGACTCGACTTTCCAATTGTATTCAAATATTGCTGCCAGTGTAGTCAGCATTAACAGTTACTGTAGTTGCCTGTAAATTACAACATTTTCTTCTTTTAAAATGTATAAACAATGCTGTAAATTGCAGACATATAACGATATGTCTTTAATCTGTATGTTAACATTAAAAATATAACATCTAGGATAAAGGACAAGTTTTGTGGATTGGGAACATTTATTTAAAGGCAGCAAAGTATGATAAATTATTGTCTAAGGGAAA